AGGGGGGCGCCGCCGGCGCTGCTCGGCGTCACGCCCGACGGCAACGTCGTCGTCTCCGTGTGGGGCGACGTCGTCTACCGCTGGCACCACGCCACCGGCGCCGTCGACTCCTTCTCGCTCGGCGCACGCCGCGTCCGCGAGGGCTGGCCCGTCGCCCTCTCCCCGGACTGCCGCTTCCTGCTGTGCCGCAACGACGAGGGCGTCGACGTCAGCGACGCCCACGCCGGCCGCCTGCTCTTCACCGTCAACTTTAGCCGCGGCTTCCTTACCGCCGCCGCCTTCAGCGCCGACGCCAAGTTTCTCGCCCTCGGCAAGGCGTCGTCATGGGTCGGGCCCAAGGTGTTGCAGTCGACGCTGGACATTTGGCGACTCGAGTTTTGACAACTTGTACATGATTGCATCATCTGAATTCTCTGATAGCAGCAGGCGCAGTGTGACGAAATATTTTCCATCTTTAATTCACAAGAACTTTTTTTATTAGCTACTTACTTCTTCTTTTTCCCCGTCGTACAAGTATTCCGGCAAGTAACAGTTTCCCCCTTTTTGGCCACGCAAAACAGTATCAACCCGGCCGACAGCTTCATAAAGTAGCGCTCTCCAGTTCCAAATTCCATAAACCAAGGAACATTGGCGCGACTCAAAGACGAAGTCATCAAAGAAGCAAACATGTTAGAGAAACATACAAACAAGTTGAATTGATGGCTTTCCTTACACCAAGGAAGTAATGTTTCTTTGACTAATGCTTTTCAATCGCCCTTCCCTCATGCTCCCTTCGTCATCAAATGCTCCTTCGCAAGAAAAATGCCAAAAGAAAATCCCCCCGAAAAGAAATTGCAAAATGCCTCTCTTCCAGAAAAGGAGAAGAAAAAATCAATGCCAACACCCCTTCCAATGAAGTGAATGAATGAATGAATGAATGAACAATGAATGACGCCACCAACATGAAAAAAAAAAAAAAAAAAACCAAAAATGTCGCAACAAATAATTCGAGGCCAAATATACCACAATTTCGAAAAGGAACAGAGTCAGTATATATATATATATAATGGCCAAAGCCGGAGGGGAGGGTATTGGGTGACCGGCATAGCAAGAGTTGCGGTTGCCGGTCGTCGTCATATACGATAGTCGTGATATTGATCATGGTTCCTCTTCGAGCATGGCTCGGATTTCCGGCTCGTTAAGGAGTTTTCGCGTGCCAAGCTCTTCAGGAGGAACGCCATCGCGAACAGCGCCGAAGTCGAGAATCTACACCATCGTTAGCGTTTTGTCTTGAAATGGAGGGGGAGCGCAAGAAAAACACATACCTCGACATAAGTCAAGTCACCCCGCTGAACTGCAGCGACACATCGTCGCTCGTCAAACTTGACCTGCCATACGCCACGCAAGTCCGTCAACAAGTCCTGCACCCATTCGCCGCTGCGGATATCCCACATCTTGACAGTCTTCTCACTGCCGCTAATCACCTTACGACCGTCATGCTGAAAACAGGTTATGGCTCCAGTATGGGCCATCAAGGTGTGTCTGCATTTGCCGTTTTCGGGGTCCCAGATGCGCAACGTCGAGTCCGCAGCAGCAGACACAAGACGCTGGTCGCGCAGGTCGAGGAGCCCGACAAGCATGTTGTGGCCTTCTAGATTATGCAAGCATGAACCCGTGTCGAGATCCCAAATCTTGACATACGAGTCCATCGAGCCAGAAATGCAGCGGTTGCGTTCGTGGTCTAGAACCACGGAATAGACTTTTTGCGAATGGCCGTGGAGAACATGTACAGATTCGCCGGTACTTATGCGCCACACTCGCACAGTGCTGTCATAAGAACCGGACACAAGTGTGTCTCCATGTGCCGCAATAGCGCGGACAGAATGTGTGTGGCCAATGAGAACTCTGATGAAATAAGGACAGTCGGTTTCTTGTGCCGGCGGCCCAGTCTGGATGTAGCGCCTCGAGCCTACTTCAGGCAGCCGCCAAACACGAAGCTGGCTATCTCTAGATCCGGTGATGATTAAAGGCTTCTCTGGCTGCATAATCGGCTTGCCATCATGGGCGCGGCCCGTCTCTGCAGGCATGAGAATCTGCAGGCAACGGACAGTACTGGTGTGACCGTAGAATACCTGCTGGCACAAGCCTCGCTCAATGTCCCATACTCGAACCGATCGATCGGTCGAGCCAGATACGAGAATATTACCCTCATACTGTAAAGCCCACACACCACCCTCATGTCCCTCGAGCTTCTTTTGCAGCTTGCCCGTATGCGTATCATAGATGTGGATTAACGTGTCGTCACTCCCTGTGATGATTTTCTCTTCGTCAAACTGCAGACATGTAATGACATGCCTTGGGTGCGCGGCAAAAGCCACATGTTTAGGTTTGACTTTCCCACTTGTCCAGCTCTGCCGTATCATGTGGTGACGGCGATAAAGAGATTTGTAAAGATGCAGCTGCCGCAAGCTGGCCAACCCCAGCTGGGGGTCAGGTACGGCGGAAGCAGCAGCGTTCGCGGCAGAGATGGGCCCTTCAGACTTGTGTTGCTTAGTTTCGATCTCCTCTCTGTGGTACCGGGAGGCGACTGCATCGTTGGGAAAGGCACGGCGTTTTGATCGCTCAGCCGTAGTATACGCATTGATGCCTCGCTTTCGCTTTGCACCTCGGGCTTTGGAAAGTTGCTCGTTTTTGACGGAACGGACGAGATCGCGTTGAGAAGAAACGAGGCGACTGTGCATACTCAAATCGCGCTCGTGGCCTGTTGGGCCAACTGGATCCTGCCACCCCCATCCTTGCGTAATCGCCTTGCTTAGTTCGCCCGGCAGTAGTGCAAAGCCATCTAATCCGAGAAGTTCTTTCCAGCCAGTTTCGTTACGGTCGACAATGTTGCGCCAGTGCCTGGAAACCTGGGCAGCACGACAGAGATCGCGGAATTCGAGATATGCCAGCACGTGATAGCCAAGCTCCAGAGGCAATTGTTTCAAAAAATCACACTTGAGAGCAGGGTTTACGGTATCAGCGATGACGCGTAGTGTTGGGCGGGGGCAGCGTCGCAGAAACTGATACATCATGTATGTCTTCATCTCCGTCTTCATGGAATCGAACGCCTCGAGCAGATTCTGCGTGTCTACAAGCAAGGGACGGCGAGCTCGACCCATTTCCTGCAAGTCATCCTGGCTGTAGCCGCTTGGTGCAAGTTCCATGGAGCCCACGTCGTCCGTTGAATGCGTGCACGGCCCTGCGTAATGATAGGAAGTATCGAAGCGGGAGTTTTCATCATCGTTGGCAGCATCGGCCGCAGCCGGAAGCGGTCCGGCAGCCAATGTCGGCGATAGTCGAGGACTCGGTAGGCTAGCATCTTGGGCTGCCACAATATCAATCGAGGGACGTTGGTGCAAGCGTATCGATCTTTGAAGCGATTCGTCGGCGTCTCCGAATGGCTCGGCATCGGCATCAGTTATGGGGGGTGTCGCCACGTTACTGCTGAATATGGTGTGTGCCTCGCTTTCGGTCGGGCTGGCGGAATCGTACGTGGGTTGGGTGGTGGGCGTCGTTTCTCGCGAATCTTGCACAATGTCCAGCTGGCGAGCCTTTCCCTGGGCAGCTCGTGATTGCGATGGTCCCAAGACTGCAGACGTATCCGGAGTAGCGGGAAGCCCGGTGGCATTGGCAAGACAGCCCTCAGTAGGCGGCCACCGACTGGTGCCCGGTTGAGATTGAGCAACGGATCGACGCAGCCGATCGGATACGGACTGCAAGCGGGTGGATCGCGTCCGACGAGCTGGCGTGGTATCTGGATAGGGTAAATTAGAGGTAGGGGAGTCGGCGAGCGAGGGTCGAAGCCGTATCGTACGGGATATGTGCGGCTCGCTAGGTGAGACAGAGGAATGTCGACTGGAGCGGCGGAGGGTGATTGTCGGCTGGGACCCCGAAGGTTGCGGCTCCGACATTGGACGTGTCCGGCTAGCATCAGGTCGCTGAGTAGATGTACGAGAGCGGTGAGATGATGTATCAATGCCGCTATCTGCATTGCCGCGAAAGGGCGGTTTGCGTACATAAGGACAGATGTGCAGGTCGTCGTCGACTTCGCGCTTGACATGCTCGCGTTCTTCCTCCCCTTCGGTTTCATTGGCACTGAGAGACGGCTCAGAACCCCCGCGGAAGCGACGTGGTCCCAAAAATAAATCAGTCAGTTCCGGCGGCGTTGGCTTCATCGCCAGAGGGTACTCTCTCGCATCCAGGGTTGACAAGGGCGTAGGGTCGCGGATGAAGACTTGGGGGAATTTTCGGGTGAGACGGGTGGTCGTAGTAACGGTTTTGGTCTCGACACATTCGCTCAAGAGCTGGAAGTGATGAGTGCCCTGTTGACTCGGGGTCTCAATCATATTCACGGCCACCGTCTGAGTCTGAGCACTACGAGGCCGGCGGGCGTCGAGACCTGAGCCGGCAGGCGACGGTGACGACGAGGACCGCATAATGAATCAGGGAGATTCTAGAATGGTCCTTTCCTTTCTTAATAGACAATAGACGACGAGGACGGGAAACAGGCGCCGAAGGCCGTGTTAGAGGCGGCCAAAGATCGGATCGTAGGCCTTCGTGAGAGAGTTCGGCGGGGGGGGGTGCTAACAAGTTGGGCGCGCGCCGTTGAGGCAAAGCTATGTGGCGCGGAGAGGAGTAGTGTCCGCCCCGAACAATAACTAGACACGTCGGAGGAGAAAAGGTGAGAAAGGGGGGGGGAATGACGTGAGGGTCAAAAAGGAAGATGCGTTGGCCAGAGACAGAACATCGGAGGGTCGGGGGTTTGCAAAATGGAGGAGGCGGATTGTGGACACTGGGCAAACGGAGGCTGAGCGTTTGAGCGCAGGTGCAGGCGCGCCGGGGCTGTTGCACTGCCAGGCAGTTGCACTGACACTGACACTGACAGCCCGACATTGGGGAGCGACTACAGGCCCAACAAACCAGCGTTCAGTGAGCAAAGGATACTTGCCTAACATAGGAAATGCGTGCTGTTCCAAAGTACCTTCATCGGGGCGCGCCAACCAAGGCTAGCTTGCTTAGGTATTAGCGCAAGCATACCTTAGTACAATTACCTACAGGTTAGGTGGGTAGGTACCTTCACACTAGGGCCCACAGGCCACATGGAGGGCACACTTGATTATTATTACCAGGCTACCATACGAAGTAAAGACAACTTGGTATCTCTGCGAGACGAGGGTGTTTCTGCTTTGCACTGATATTTTTACTGATGAGGTATCTGCCGTTTTATCAAAGAAACTACCCTTGTGTACTCGCAACAGTATTCCAAAGAAAATAAAGAAACCTTTGCCAAACCCCAAAACCCCTATCAGGAAGGACACCTAGAGGTTCGCGTTGGACCTCCCTCCTTAGTTAATCATGCCAGCACTCTGAATTGGGTTTTCGGGCCAATCACGGCTCCGTTAGTGGCCAAAAGAGTGGATCCTCTCCGCCTTTCCCCGTGCTGAGAGCCACTGGAAGCACTAACTACCTGCCTCTATTAGAACGTCATTCTTGATTAGCGAATCCTGACCCCCTTGCCGGGACGCCCGCCCGCACCTCTCCGCGACTAGACGCAACTTGAACACCAAGAAATCTGCAAACGCTTTGCATTTCCCCCCTCCAGCCCAACTATATCCTACATTCCTACCGGCTGGGACACGCCACACGACAAATATAGATACCCCGCGTCTTCCACTGACACCCAATCCTCCGGGGAAAAGGGGGCTGCGTTTTCACCTGATGCTACGCTACGCCACTACGATAATCCTTCCCTAACAAGCACCAGCACCAATTATACCGCATCATCATCGGTCTAGCCGCCGAACCAGAAAAAGCCAAAAGGAAAATAACTAGCCATCAAGTTCAAGTTCCGCCAGCGGGAGATGAAGGTTTTATTTTTTCTTTGTCGTGCCCGCTAACCCTCCTCAAAGCAAGCCTTTCCGCCATCCCGGCCCGACGGCGTACAGACCGTGTTGCGAAAGGCACAGTACTTATATTGTGCTTATAACTAGTTGAAAGCTTAGGTCCACCCACAAATCACACGGAAATCAATATGACTCCCAACATATCTCGGCCCATTGTCCCTCAACCACAAGCGGATCGTGGTCAGTCTTGGGGGTCTCAGCTAGGTAGGTCCCAAACGTACTGACAGCTGCATGAGAAGCACAAGGCGTCTTGTTCTCCCATCCCGCCGACGCGCGCCTTCTCTCTGAACATCGTTCCTCGACTAAAAGAGGGAGGGGGAATGCAAGCCACTGACCAACGCTGTTTTTACTTGGTGGCGCTGACCCCCTGTGCACATCCGAATCCTACTTGGTATTGTCTTGGATGACAGTATCGAAACAAGGACCCGTCCAACCCATTTCAACCACGGAGAAGCCTCGGTTTCGCGCCCGGCAAGGTAGTGCCATGACGCTCCGCATTAGTCCGGAGGGTTCTTCTTCGGCTGCCCCATCACGTCGCGTTATCGGCCAAGCGGCAAGGGCTGTGTTTGGGCGCATGCCTGGATGCGGCTGGATACAGGCTTCCCTCTTTCAATATCCCCGCCGCTGCCTTCCCGTCTTGTTGGATGGCCAGACGTCGCGGCCCAACATCTTTTTTTCATCTCGTCTTTTATTTTCGTCCGGCTTGCAGGGCATGAAACTCTACAATGCACGTCCTATATTGGAGGTCTAGGTGCCACGGCGAACAAGCTCTATTCGTCATGACATTTCTTATACAGCGATGGCTCATCACAATGCCAAATTCGGCTGGCTGGTGACGTGTAGCATCCAATTCATCCCTCCTTCTTTCGCAATTACACAGCACTAAGTACACAAGCAAACTACAGTAGAGGTGCAACAGATCCGGAGCGAGTGTAAACCCACCAATCCTTGCAGCGCAAGTATACTGCTGCTTATTCCCCAGCCAGATTAGGTAAATCGCTTGTCCTTCAGAAAGGTATGTAGGTGGGTAGGTACGCCCTCCCGCGCAAGTAGCCGCCATTGCATTTTTAGACCCAGAACAACCAACCAAGGTTTGAAGCAACTTGATGTAAGCAGAAAGTACCCTGCCATTGAGGAGCTCCACATCTTTCAGCTGCTTGCAGGAGCTGGACAGCTTTATTGCTTTTCTTCTCCAGCTCCATGCCGCAGCCCTAAAAATAGAGACGTATCAAGATGCTCGGTAAGTCACTCATGTCTTGTTCAATTGTCCCATACTATGGCAGCATGGTGCAAAATTAATTTTTTCAGAAAAGTATGTTAATGGTGCGAGGTAGCGCCTCCGCTCCGGGACGTCCGGACACATCACATGTCAGACTTTATAGTACCTTATTTGACTTACAACCGAGATCCATAAGAAACACAAAAGTCAATCATGAAATTTTTTTCAATTAACTTTAGTCGTCATTATCCAAACTAAGGTTGCTAGGGAACAATGCCCAAAGGGAAAAAACTTGCACAAGAGAAATCTGTTCTTTTTACGCAATGTAGACGGGCACCCGACTGCCCAGGAGCTCACTCTTGGGCACCTGCACATCCAGCTTGTGAAAGTCGTGCAGCATCAGCCAGCATATCATCCGGAAGACCAGCGTACACCAAATGTCGTCATGCGACGCCGGCTGCGCCGCGAGCGGCACGCGATACCTCCGACGGCGGTCCGTTGCCGCATTCACAGCCGCGCCATTCTCCTCTTCCTCGTCCGCATCCTCATCGTTATCGCTGGCCACGGCCACGGCCACCTCGGCATCGGTCTCGTCACTAGCGCCGGGCTCCGCGTCGGCCACGGGACCCCCGACGGAGGAGCTGGCGCGGCTCGAGCCCGGGCGCGGTGCCAGGCTGGGCCCGCGAGAGATGCTGCGCCCGCCGCCGCGCATGCTCGGCAGGCTCTGCGGACGCTGACCCCCGCCGAGACTCCCTCTACGCTCCGTCGAAAAAGCAGCCTTGGGGACGACGCGCGGGCGCACGACCTCAAAGTAGACGTCCATCAGGAGCTGCTGCCGCTCATCGGGACTGGCGTCGTCGACATCCTCGAAGCGCGGTGCCGGCGAAACGGCCCGCTGTGGGGGCGGGAACCGCTCCGGGAACCGCGCCTGCAGCGGGGAGACGGGCGAGCGGTCGGACAGGTGCTGCACCTGCAGCGACTGCGTTTCGGCACGTTCGTCGCGCTCGTTGAGCAGCCGCAGGACTTCTTGGATGTGGGAGCGGAGCACGTCTTGCACGGCCTCACGGCGCATGACCTGAAGCTTCGTCTCGCCCTGGTCATCGGAGCAAACCACCACGGGCAAGGTAGGCATGCCAGGGGTAACGGGGGTGTCGGCGTCAGCGCCGCATGTGTCCGCGGTGTCCTTTTTCTTGGCGGTCAGGATCTCGTCGGTATCGTCAATGGCCATGTGCAGGACTCGCAGGCACACCAGCCGTGGAGGGCCGTCTTTTTCACAATAGGTCTTGAGGACCTCGTCGACGTGGCGGCGAAGCGCGTCAACAATGACGTGGTTGCGCGTGGTGGTGGTGTCGGCGTCAAAGTGCGTCTTGAACGCCTCCAAGAGCTTGCGCAGCGAAAATGAGCGCTTGTCGAAGCTGTGCTTGGTCGGGTTCGGGATGTAGGTGAAGCTGCTGTTGTTGATGTGAAAATTTTGGCTGAGCATGCCGAGAATCTCAAACGCGAGGGGAAAAATATGTGATGTCCGGCTGCCGTCTTCCAGAAAGTAGTTCACCGTATTCATGTTGCACCCAATCACGGTCAGGCTCTCCGCCAGCTCCCGGTCGCGGCTCATTTGCAGTGAGCTGAGATTTTCCGGCATGTCGCTGGGCACTTTGAGTCGGCTCTGATCAATGGTGTCACGGTAGATGGTGGGCACGTAGCCGAATGTGAGTTCCTTGATGTAGTCGACAGGAATCACCCTGTTGCGCTCAAAGGTGGCCTGCCCATGTACTTGCAGCGAAAACACAATTCCGAGGTCGTTTCGCTCACCAAGAACCAGAAACCCATTTCCTTCGGCCCAGTAGCGATCGCGACGTCGGTCAAATTCCTTCCAGTAGATACCCAGCGCAGCAAGCATTTCAATCATGTGGCACATGGTTGTTGTCGCGTAGGGTTTTGTCATGGATGGCGGCATGGTATCCCAGCTCTTTCTCTTGCGCTGCAGCGCCACAGTCAGGGTATGATGCTCACGGAGCGACGGCGGCTTGCTGGGCAGGCCGTACTGGGCCTGAAGCGTTCCCGGGGGCCCGTACTGGTCGCGCTGCCACTCACTCGACTTGGCCTCCATTCTCTGGATGGCGTAGAGGAGCACCGACCACGACGTGCGCTCATTGTCTGCTGTGTGGACACGCTCCTTGGCCGATAGAGTGAGATATTCCTTGCGCGGGTCCAGCTCTGGCGTGGTCCAGGTCTCTTCCAAGCTCCGCGGCGAGCCGTCGAGAAAGTATATCGGGGCGTCGGGAATTGGGCCGCGCCTGTTGTTCGGGGGGGAGACGAAGATGACGGGCGCATCATACTGTACTTCGTATCGAAGCTCTTCCCAGGAGAAGCGCCTGGTCTTGGTCCTTGCCCAGCCGCCCATGACCTTTTCGTTGCAAAGGGAATAGCCGGCAGCGGAGGCATAGTACTGCTGAAGAACCTGCATAAAGGTCGCTGTCAACGCGACCAGGGAGACGATGAGAGCCACAAGGGCTACAACCACCTCTGGGCTGATCATTTTGGTATTCGCTTGTCGCTTTCGCCTCGCTTTTGACAATCGCCTCCCCTAAGCGCGCCAGGCAGCTAATCCGAGGTGGCGCCTGTGTGCCCACAGCTGCCGAGGCTCCTCCGTTGCAGTCGTTGTCGTTCGGGCGTGCCAGTCGAGGAGCTGCGGCGAGGGTGGCGGATATAACTTGTTAGTTATGCCTTGGCAGTTGTGATTACAGTAGGTTTCTGTTTATCGTGAGAGAATCATTGTCCAGGTGGAAATTGCCTGCTGCTGATTGCGCGCTGCAGCCGTGTGGGTTCGAAGAACTGGTCCGGCTCACTTCCGAGCCATATTCGCTAGTCAGCTAATTCAGCCTCACGCCGCAGATTAAGCCCCCTTCGGGATGCTGTGCATCCTGGACGCGTGGCAGGCTGACAGCTGGGAAGAAATTCAGCATCACTGGCGATGAAAGTCGACCCAATAGAATGTATCTTGATAAAACGCACCATTGCTCATTTTCTCGTGGAGGTGTGAAAACTAGGTACGGATAGTGCCGTGCCCACTCTTGGAACAAAATAGCGCCGGCCAACGCTTGCTTGCAGCTTGGGCTAACCCTGCTGGTTCAACGGTTGGTTCATGTACAGCCAGCGCAGCATGCATCGCCCCGATACTTATTGTTCTTTATAACCGCTGTCAAGATGCCGATACCCTTCCGCTTGACAGTCTGACTCGGAACTTGAATATGCGCTAATGGCGGTGACCCCCTTTTCCCCAGGCAACGCCCGCACCGTGTCTCGTCAGAAGTCGTCCCCCACAGCCATCATGTCTCTGTGAGGCGACCTATCAGAGCCGTCTGTGGGGGGTTTGTCCGGAAGCAAGCAAGTTTCTGCTGTGGAATCATGTCAACCTGGATGTGCAGAAACGCAGAAACAAATGTTGACCATATCATCGCGCAGATTGCCCCGGTTGTGCCCTGCCGCCGCCCAACGACAGGCCTGACGAGGCGCCGACCCCAAAGTTCCCAAGGAAAGCTCCTTTTAATGACAAAAGAAAAAAAAATTAGCTTGATTATTACAAGTGAAACAAATGGGTGCCCATCGTGTCCACGTTGCAACGGTCATGCATGCGCCCCTCCAGCCTCGTTGCTTACAACAGGCAAAACCCAGCGCTGGGTCCAACGAGAAACCACAGCAAACGATTCAAAGTGGTGGGCAGGATTTGCCTAGCTTTGCGTGACACTTGGGTAGAAGGAATGGTCATATACCAAGATGATGGTGCCCATGTGGACTCTCAGCATGTTGCACGTATCCGCAAAAGCTCTGAAAAATTCCCGGGCAGGCGTGTCACCCCGTCGCCATCCCGCAGTTTCTATTCCCTTTCCTATAGTGGGACTATCGATGTGATACTGAGATGGAGCGCCACCGTGACAGGGTTGGGTTGTGCTTGCTGGACCAGGGTGTGCCTTGGAGTACGCGTCCTGCTCAGTACTTAAAGAGCCGACGTCCATCATTCCGTGAGGATCAAAGATTCTCACTCTGCAACTTCACAATACATATCTACAATTACCAAAATGCCTGGCGCAACTTCCGATAGCTTCCAGTCCGTAGCAAACGGCAATGGCACGGCGGCCCAAAGCTCTGTGGCACATCTTGCAGCTCTGTCCGAGACAATCCGAACAAAGACCGCGCTCTTCACCAAGAGCCTCAATGAGAAACACCTCGACGCACCATCATTCAAGCTTGGCGGACGTGCCAGTTTTGATCTGAATGAGTTTGACACACAGGACAAGGACACCCGGAACGAACTCATAGCGCTCACCAAGGAGCTTCATGACTTGCTTGTTGGCCCCAAGGATACCCTCAAGAACTTGGCCTGGAACGTATGTACACTGTCATTCATGTACCAAGCCATTGCCAAGAACCTCTAACGAAGAACGGGTAGTCGATCAGCTACGTCCCCCTCGAAGCCATTTGTGAGTTCCGCGTTGCCGAGGCTGTACCCCCCACCGGAGCTATATCCTACGTCAATCTCGCCACCGAAATCGAGCATCTCACAGGCACCAAAGTCATTGTTTCTGATTTGAAATGCATATTGCGCCTGGCAATGGCAAATGACCTGTTCTCCGAACCTAGTCCCAATCACGTCGCACACAGCCGATCATCCCTGCTCCTGTTGGAGGACCCGTGTGTGGCAAGCTGGGTCGCCATGTTCACCACCGATCTTCTTCGGCCCATTGTCAACACCGTGGAGGCCATGAAGAAGTGGCCTGGCTCGCAAGAGCCCAACGAAACTGTATGCAACTTCGGTCAAAAGGCCGCCGATCAGTTGACGCTGACCATGTCCTTTGGAACGATATAGGCCGTCAACATAGCATATCGCAACGATATTCCGTTCTTCGAGTTTATGCAATCGGACAACGCGAGGATGAAGCGGTACGGCCTGGCTATGAAGGCACAAGGTGGTCGTGACGGGTTTGACCTGTCACATACTACAAATGGCTACCCGTGGTCCGAACTCGGCGCAGCAAGGGTCGTCGATGTACGTGGCACCTGACCTGAGATGTTGCTCTACATGAATTGGTGACGCTAACTAACTCTCACCTTTCCGTCCAACAGATTGGTGGCAGTCAGGGGCACGTATCCTTTGCGCTGGCGGAAGCCTTTCCGCAGCTGTCCTTTACTGTGCAAGAGAAGCCCGAGTTGAGGACCGACAAGACGATTGGCCAGGTACCCCAGCACCTGGCCGCGCGAGTCGAGCTGACGGCGCACGACTGCTTCCTCCCGCAGCCCGTGGAAGCCCGCGTCTACTTTTTCCGGCACGTCTTCCACGCCTTCTCCGACAAGTACGCCGTCGCCGCGCTCCGGGCGCTGGTGCCCGCGATGACACCTGGCGCGCGGGTCGTCATCAACGACTACGTGCTGCCCGCACCCGGCGTCTTGTCGCAGAGCGACGAAAAGGCCGTCCGCACCATGGACGTGTTGATGCGGACCGTCTGCAACGCGCGGGAACGGGAGGCGGGCGATTGGAAGGCGCTCTTTGCGCAGGCGGACTTGCGGTTTCGATGGAGGGGGGCTACTAAAACAGCGGGCAGGTTATCGTTCATCGAGGCAGTGTGGGAAGAGGAGACGCGGGGTGAGACGCGGCCGAGGCTGTCGAATGGGACGTGAACGACTTGTTGTCGCGGTTACACAAGGGTAGGAGGAAAGACAATTTGTTACTTTGGTCATGTTTCAGGCGGCACAGTACGGTTGTGCGGGTAGTAACAGGGTTTCTGTGCACATTGCCCGTCTTGTCTTTGGTTTCCGGTCTTATTTGGGCGGCATGTCCGCTCCAAGCCTCCAACTGTCCACCAGCCTGGTTCCTGGGCTCAGCTTACACTGCTGCCCGTGCGGTGACACGGCATATGGTGGCGTAGTATAGTCTATTAATCCCAGAGCAACTTCTATGCAGTTGCTTGCATTAAATGATTACTCATTCTATATCGTGTGCGAAAATAAGAAAAAAAAAACCTCTCCGTCAACGCGTCTATTCCGCCCGGGTCCAACTTCTATACATGATGCCGTGCCGCCCCCGTCTCTAAATAGCGCCCGCTCTATATCACAGCTTGATCGATTTCGAGGTACTCCGGCTTGCCGTGTTGCGCGACATGTCCACAATCATGGCCACGTGTCGAGCCTGGGCGACGACGTCCCCGTCGGCGTCGAAAATGTCCACGTCGCAGCCGTAGCGGCCGTTCTTGGCGCTGCGAATCGACGTGCGCAGGCGGAGCCATCGGGCGCCCTCGGCAGGCAGGCTCTTTTTGAAATCCATGTGGATGTTGAGCGTCGGATACCAAAAGACGACGCCCGGCGGCGTCTGCGCGGCCGGGGCGTGTTGCAGGCTGAAGAGGCCAATGGCGGGCGTGATGTCGGCCAGGTACGCCAAGTCCAGGTTCTCGATCGGCTCGCCCGACTTGTGCTCCATCCACAAGTCACGAATGCCGACCGGCGTCGCGTGCGTCCTCTGCTGGTAGGTGTTCCAGTGCCGGTTGGGGCGAAAATTGGCGTTGGTGTAGAGCTCCCAGCCGGGGTCCTGTCCGAGCGGCAGGCGCTGCAGATCGGCCGGCGCGGGGGGGTATGCATCCCGCCACTCGCCGTCCAGCGACTGGCCGGTCTCGGTCGCCATGTCGCGGCAGGTGACGGAGGCGGTGACGACGCGGCGGGCGTCCGGGGAGACCCAGGGCGCCTCGGTCAGCTGGCCGTCTTGGTACAGCGCAATGTGCAGGACGGACATGTTGCGCGCAATCTTGACCTCGTCAACGAGCATGGTCGCGCGCCCGGCTTGGGACCGGTTCAGGAAATCCCAATGCGCGGATATAACGTTGCGGTGCCCGTATTTGGCGACATGTGTGAGTGCCACGGCGAGAAAGTGTCCTGCGACATAGCCGCCGTTGGGTACTATCGTGTTCGTCTAATGGTTAGCGTGCCATCCATTGAGACGGGACGAACATGGGAAGTAAAGAGTAAATATACCCAACACCCAAACCCAGTTTCCTTGATGACTTACCGGTACCAATATTGAATGCCGGGGCCAAGTCGACGACGTAGGCTTTGTCGTCTACTCGTTGCACTTTGGTCGACTTTGCAGCTGTCGTAGGGGCAATGGCTCCGCCCAGAGTCGGCTTAGACATGATGACTGGATGTGGTCCTTATTGACAATGTCTCGTTTGACTTGAAGCTGTTGGTGAAGCCTCAAGACTGCTTTAGCCGAGGTTCATTGACGCCCCCGCAATTTCGCGCCACAAAGTGACGCCTTCGCCTTGGAGCCAACATGGTACAAAAGGAGTCACGCAGTCCCTCACAAATTCACACAATCGATGTTTTGAGAATTTTTGAAAACAAAATCGTCATGGCACAAGAGGCCAAGACTTGGCGTGTTGGTTTGGCGGTATTGCCATTGACGCTTCTGGAAGTTCCATGACACGTCTTGTCGCCAAGCCATTGGGCGTCTTGTCTCACCTGGAATGGCAAGGAACTACGTTGGCCGTGCGAAGCGATGTAACAGCACGCACGCGCAGCTGCTTTAATCAAAAGTTGGAATGAGGATGCGACACAAATCCGGATTCCGGACTCCGGGATCCGTACAATGGTGGGAAAGGTAATACCCAAGACATTATGCCGTCATGTTGATTCCATCTCGGCACAGCAAGCGGTATGTAGTTACAACTCGTCTCCCGAAGCGAGCGAACATGGATGAATGGTCGACCTGGGTTCGTTTTCGAGAAGAGCAGGCTGCCACGCAAGAATGGCTCTCTGCACCAGCTGTGCGGATAGACAGTTCACCGCCAGCCATTCTACACAGAGTCGCAGGAGTAGAGTTTACCCTAGCCACACACCGCACATCTCTGGCACGCCAACACGGACGCAAGTGGCAGTGCACATGTACGTATACTTTTACGGTGGTTTGCTTGGCATGCAGTGCACACATGAAAGATGAAATATATATATCTAGAGACAGAAGAAAGATGGATAATCCGAACACGGCCGTGGTTTTGGCGAAAGCCGGACGAAGCCTCTTTTTTTTCCGGAGATATCGAGGTGGGGGTGCCGCCACGGCGCGGCATGGATGAAGCCACCATCGACGGACGGGGTGTCGTCCTAGATTTGCCCTTATCATCGGCGGGTTTTGGGGCGCAGCTCGCGGGCTCTTGGTCCACCCAGTCCACCTTGTGTTATGACAAAAAACGAAAAAAACGTGCTCCCAACACCAAGGAAAACCTGAGATGCTACATCGCTTGGGACAGGAACGGGGCTCGTGGAGCTCATGGCAGACGGGCCACGAAAACAGAGACGCAGTGCCAAGGGAGGCAGTCCACCCTCAAGATCCTACCCGGGCATCCGGGTATTCAGCTTGCCGGCTGCTTCTGCTGCGCAAAATGTGTATTTGATGTTACAGTCCAAGTGGTCTTACTGTAACCCAATTCGATTAGGGGGGGCTTATATCTACACCACGTATCTACTGGGTGGCGGCCGTTTCTCAGGCAGGTGTTGGTGGGCAGAACACCTTTCCTCCATTTCCTGAAAGCGTGATTCTGGTCCTGAATCATGCCGAGAATCTCGAGGGGTTTGCGGCACCAACGAACGCGAGAGCTTTGGGTCCCAGAATTGTTTACCAGTCGTCTGGCCGTGCCGTTCCGGTAGGGTGGGAACATCACGACGACCGGGAATGCAATCCCTGTGCTGCCGTGACTTTTTGGGGCGCTCACTGATTAACGAAATTTGACTCGACCCTGCTCAACCCGCCGTCGTCCATGCCGGCAGGCGTGGCGATAGGCCTCGGCGGTACTCTATTCTGTGGAATTCGGTGGAGTTTTTTTTGTTGCATCGCATATATATTGGGCTGACTGATATGTAGGCGGTATCCAGTTTTAAGCAGGAAGCAAGGGGGGAGAGAGAGAGAAGGACCCGAGGACGCAGGAGTGAAGAAGAAGAAGAAAATAAAAAAATCATGCTTAGAATAGATGGCGAATCGCGCCAATGGCCCTCGGTCAGGCCAGTTTCCAAAACCAACAGGACCTTGGTCTCGCCCCGGTCCGCATTGAAAGGACACGAGCTTGCTCAGCTTGAACAAGCCCACGAGGAGGAAACACGGCGGCTAGATTTAGATCATGGACCACAAAGGGGTTGTTTGTCCGGTGGTTTGACACGGCATCTCTAACCACGTCGTCGAGCATCGAGCTCTGTTGGTGTCGTGGGCCAGGGTCGCTCATACCGAGAGCGCAGCAAGAAGCGTCTCGGTAAGGTATCCGTATATACCACCATGTACGTATGTGTAATGTACCCCTGGAAAATCCCAAACGAAAAAGTCCCGATAACCTGCGAGATGTTGTTCTGCCCACCCGAAAATCGCAACTTGGGAAAAGAAAGAAGACAAGACGGACCAATAGGGTTTGTTCCCACCGGGCAGTGCCGTGTTATCAATGTCACTGCGCCAGGGTTTGCGACACCGAGCCAGGGTTACAGTTTTTTTTTGCACATCTAATCATAGCCCATGCTTGCTGGGCCTTTTATTTTTATTTTTATTTTATTCTCATCGTTGTGGGTTCTGCGGCCACGAAAGTGTTTCACCTCGTAAAATGATGTTCATAAAACACATTCGCATTGCGTGTAGATAAGGTTTCCTCACCGAAGTCCATTTAGACCACACTCGGCGGCCGGCTTTCCGAGCGAGATGCGATGGACGGCTGAGATGGCGTTGCTGCACGCCGAGCCAATTCCATCTCTCTCTTGAAGAAGAAAAAGAAACCCGCCGGCCCCCCAAAGCCCGTCAGCACTTTAATCGATGTACTCATCCACATGATTGGACAAGGGGGTAGCATGGGCCTGTCGAGTCAAGAGTCCATTTCAGAGTGGCGCGCCAAGCCAATCGCCCGTCCGGACATGACAATCGGTCGGCGTCGACGCAGAACAAAATCAGTGGCGTTTTCTTAGTTGGTTGTTAGTTACTTTCTTCCTCCTATGGCATCCCGGCCCCCTGTCGTTGGGCAGCACACAAAGTTACTTGTTGGCGGCCCTCGCAAAACCAACATCCACCTGCCAAGGACGAAACACACCAAGTTCCACGATATTTATAGGTGCCGGGCCAGATAGGAAAGAGAAAAAACAGGACTTGTTTTGCTTGGTTTCCGCACGAATAACGCAATCGTCTGGCTAAAATAAAATCCTGGCCCTTTGATCTTGGCAGACCAGCGTCGCATTCAACCTTGCAAAGCAGTCAAGTCACCCTTTACACGCCACCAGGACTCGCTCCTGACTGGCTCATCGAGCAAAACCCCTACCGTTACAACTGAGCAACTGGCAACGCCAAGCAAAAAAGGACTGAATAGAATTTACCTTGCCTTGTGTGCACGGCCTTGCCCCTTTTGGCCAGGCTACGTTTAACATATGACCCCCCACCCGGCCACTTAGACGCTTGTCGCCTCCCATGCTTCAGGCCAACACATCGCCGGGTCGTGAGGCTCTGCTGCTGCTGCGACATCTTGTAGTTATCTAGTCAGTGATTTGGATTGGCGGGTGTGTCGTTAGGAGAAACGGGCCGGGGGGGGGGGGGGGCGTCGTTCGCCTGCACGCCCCAAAGGCAAAAGCTTCAGATCAATCAATGTACACTCGAAATACTGGGACTCCCGGGAGATAGATTGAAGACATGAAGCCGGCAAGTGTGCAGGGCCTTTTATGAGGGTAACCTGGTTAAAAGGGATGTCCTCCCCGGCAGCATTCTGGCGACGTTGGTCTTTTTTTTTTTTTTCTCTCGATAGAATCAATCAAGTCAATCCTTTTGTTTTCCTTTGTTCCAGATATCCCAGACTTCTTCCCCAATCTTCCACTTGGTCCGGCACCATGGACGAGAAGAATCGCAACATTTCCGCCTCCTCCTTTGGCAAGCTGGTCGCCTTTGACCCTTCCGCGGAGCCGTCCTCTCACTACTGGTCTGATTCGAACACGCCGACCAGAAGAAACTCCATCCACTCTGCCTTTTCTCGATCCGACGACCACCAGCACCATGACGCCGCCGCCGCGTCTTCCCGTCTCGACATGGAGGCCCAGCTGCACAAGCACTACAAGGGCGCCTCCGTCTTCGACAACACGTCCGACTTTCACGAAAAGGCTTCCTCGCCGGCGGCAGACCCCTACAGCCCCGACCGCCCCAGCCTATCTTTCAAGCAGCGCCTTCATCACTTCACATGGGCCTGGTACACATGGCCCATGAGCACAGGCGGGCTGGCCTTGCTCATCGGCAACCAGCTCAAGACGTTCCCTGGCCTCAACACGATTGGCTTTGTCGTATACATTCTCAACCTTGTCATCTTCTCCTTCGTCACCACCTGTCTTGTACTCCGCTTCTGCCTGCATAAGGGCGACTTTGCCCGTTCCATCACGCATCCTCGAGAGGGCTTCTTTGTACCAACAGCCTTTCTTTCTTTTGCCACCGTCATCACGAGTACGCACAAGTACTGGATTCCTGACAATGACGGAGCACTGTCGTGGGCCATCCAAGGCGTCTTTTGGGGCTATGTCCTCCTCACTCTGACCCTTGCCGTCGGCCAGTACAGCTTTGCCTTTGCCGCACACAGTCACAAGCTGCAGACCATGATGCCCACCTGGATTCTCCCCATCTTTCCCATCATGCTGTCGGGCACCATCGCATCCGTCATCGCAAAGACACAGGCCGAAATCTCCATCTTGCCTGTTGTCGGAGCCGGCCTTACCTGCCAGGGCCTGGGCCTATCCGTTGCCATGCTCATGTACGCACACATGATTGGAAGACTGATGCAGTCCGGCCTCCCCAACAGGGAGCACCGACCGGGTCTGTTCATGTGCGTAGGCCCGCCAGCCTTCACGGCCCTGGCTCTCATTGGCATGGCAAAGTCTCTGGAGCGGTCGAGTGCCCTCAGTGAATCGCTGCTGGACAAGGTCGTTCTCTACAACCTGGCCATTATCAGTGCCGTGTTTCTCTGGGCCCTGAGCCTCTGGTGGTTCGGAATCGCAGTCGTTGCTATCATCCAGTCGCCCCCCGAGTACTTCCATCTGGGTTGGTGGGCCGCCGTCTTCCCCAACACAGGCTTCACTCTGGCATCCATCTCCATGGCCAGAGAATTCGGCAGCGAGCCTCTCATGTGGTGCACCACGGTTATGAGCATCTGCATGATCTGTGCTTACTTGTTTGTCCTTGCATTCCAGGTTCGAGCAGTCGTTATCCAGGACATCATGTACCCTGGGAGGGACGAAGATGTCGAAGATCACTAGACAAGACGTCTTGTGCAATGTTTTTTTTTGTTTGGAAGGCGCAGGATGAAAAAAGTTGTTTCGCGTTCGTTTTTGGTTTTTTTTACGTTCTGCATAGCCGGCATTCGATATTATAGAAGTTCTTGCGCACATCCTCCATTCATTTTTTCATCAACCCTTCTCATTTTGCAAGGCTAGATAGTCTCTAAGCTAGCTCACCATCCAATCTTTTTTTCATCAATTCTTCTCATTTCACAAAGTCTAGATAGTTTCTAAGCTAGCTCACCATAAACTATTTTTATCTGCGCCTCTTGAGCCGCCAACAAGCATTCTAGAAGCCACGGTGTGACACATGAACGGAATCCCCGGGCCGCGACTCAACAGCGGCATTGGCTTTATTATGCTTTGCATTAAAGCTCCCGATAAGCATTTTCACCCATTGTCTCATCTCCCGCACGGTCTAGGCCTTCTTCTCTACAGGCTTACCGGTGCAACCGACTCCTGGAGCCGCAATGTCATAGGCCCAAACGTCAATCGCGAAATACTGGAGCGCGTTGCTATCTCTGGCGCTCTTGGCCGGGTCCTTCTTCGCCAAGGCAAGAATGCCGTTGTAATCGTCTGCGAAATGATCCACCACATTTTCGTTGATTGTAGGGACATGAAACATCCGATGCAGGAGGTCGACGGCCCAGATGGTGTTGAGAGGCGATCCAGCGACCGTGTAGCCCAGGTTGCAGACTGATGAGAGCGAACGTCGCAGCTGGAATGACAAGGGGCAGATGACAGTTTCCGTTGTAGCATTCTTTCCACGGTAATGGCCTCCCCAAGCTATAAATATCGTTTGTCAGCTGTCTCATCTTTTCCTGCCCATTGCGATACACTCTCTGGAACACTTACTCGGCATCGACGCGCACACCTTGTCGGGATCATCGCAGCGAAAGGTCATGGCCGTCTTGTCGGCTGCAACGATGCGATCAAACCAGCCAATAGGCTCTGCCAGTGTGCCGTTTCCGAAATATCTTTGAACCAGCTCCGACTTGCCACCGAAGCGTAGCAGGTGGTTTCTCGCATGCTGGGCCAGCTGCACGGCGTCGTCAAGGCCGACTTGGAGTTGGGCGCGCAGGGTGCTGTTGCAGGACGAGTGAATGGGGAACGACGTCTCCCATCCTTCTGACCAGCTGTAGGCGCCCGTCTTTGGGGTGGAAGTCGGCACAGTGCTGAGAGTCGTCGGGGTCCCTTTCTCGGTGGCGAGGGGAGAGGCCATGAGACCCGGGGCCGCAAGTGCCAGAAGAAATCTGGGTGTCTTCATCTTGGATAGCAGAGATCTTTGGAACTGGAGATGCTATTGACTTGCGACTTTGATACAGGAAGAGCGAAAGGATGCCCATCGAGGTATATATAGCCACCAGTAAGCGACGGCTTCACAGCTCTCTTCTGTAAGCAGCGGTCAAGATGGCCGTCTATGTACCTGCCAAGCGAAGTCTCTGCGCCATTTTTCCCGTGCTTATATATGAGGCGTTCTGTACTGGAGTCTTCAGCCCTGGGAAGTGGGCAGAACATGTTCGTGAAGTTGGCAGACGATGGGCACACCACCGACGATGCTTGTCGACTCGGTCCATGTGGTGGGCAATAAATTACTAGTTTTTCAGCCATTTGCGCTGCCAAGGAAATTCACAAAGAGAATCAGAGTCTCGAATCGCAAAAGACCAACAAATTCGCAACTAACGGCTCGGAAAAAGGGACATCAAGGTGGTTTGGCTTGCCAGCTGCAGTGCCAAGACAGTGAGGCTAGCTACTGCCGGGTCCACGAGGCCGGGTACGCTCGCAAATCCATTAGAGTTATTTTCAAGCTTTAATAGTGATTTATCTAGAATTAGCTTGGTATTTTTCCTGGTATATTACTGATGCGCACAGTTGTAACCGTCAATTGCTACTGGCTTACATGTACTAGCGGTGCAAGGTTCTGTCTGCACTTGAGCAGGATGATGCGCAGCTCAAGCTCGTCATAAATTTTGCACTCAACTCAAACACAGATAGTCGTCTACCAAATGTAGCTCTTCAATCTTTTTGGAATTTCTCGCGCTTATTCCCGCGCCGACGAGCTGTTAGTCGGAGTGACGGATTTGCCCATGGGCCACTCTGGGGCCGGCACCAGCCACTTTGTGGCAAAAGTTTCCTCTTTTGCTTCCTTGAGCCACACTAACGCAAGGCAGCCAAAATCCACGCCACGCTCCGAGGGAAAAAGTACAGATCGCGGGACCTAGCCGACAAGTCCTCTCCCACATTATTCGCCTTTGCGTCCATATCACCATCAAGGTCATTTGGTGATTGCTTCTCGGCTCCTTTTCTGCCACCGACGGCGCAGACGGAGCTTTCTTTTCTAGACGCCGTCGCTAATTGACGCGTCCGTCGCTGCGTCCGCACCCCTGGGACTCCTGGCCGGCGCTGCCCCCCCCCCCCCCGACCAACTTCAACATGGCGCCCCTGGTCGCAAATTCGCAAATTCAGCACGCGCAGCTGCTGAATCCGCTTTCCTTTCACTTCCGCGCATACATCTGGCCCTTTGCCATTGTATGGCCCATTTTCCTCCGATATTTTCTCACCCCCGAACTCTACGAGAGACACATCGGCGCCCCCGAATGGACGTTTGTCTGGGTCGGCTCCATCATCACGGTCCAGTCTCTGGTCTGGTTGAGCACTCACTGGAGCGTCAACCTCGATGCCATCTTCACTGCTCAGTCTGCCAAGTCTGTTGAAGATGCCCAGCTCATCAAGGTTATTCCCATCGCCAACGCCGGCTCAGCCGGCATCTGCAAGTTGGTTCGCGACAAGGTAGGCGCATTTGACGTCAGCGTTCTATATTCCCTATTAACGCGGCGATTTTAGACTGGTGGGAAGACCAACCTCTCATTTCTCTTCCAGAAACGCCGCTTCTTGTACAATCCCGATACCAAGTCCTTCGATACCCTCAAGTATGCAATCGACTCCGAGCCTCAGCCCCTCATTCGCGACTTTCAGTCGTCGCGCGGTATCGACAAGAAAGCCGAGTTGTCGCGAATGGAGCATCACTATGGCATGAACACTTTTGATATCCCCGTCCCGACATTCACTGAGCTGTTCAAAGAACACGCTGTCGCGCCCTTCTTCGTCTTCCAGATATTCTGCGTCGGTCTTTGGATGCTCGACGACTACTGGTACTACTCACTCTTCACCCTCTTCATGCTTGTCGCCTTCGAAAGTACTGTTGTTTGGCAGCGTCAGCGCACCTTGACCGAGTTCCGAGGCATGAGCATCAAGCCCTACGACATGTGGGTGTACCGTCTTGGTACTTGGACAGAAGTTCTTAGCGATGCCCTTCTTCCCGGCGACCTCGTCTCAGTCACCCGTACCAAGGACGACAGTGGTGTTGCCTGTGACATGATTCTCGTTGAAGGTACCGCTATTGTCAACGAAGCTATGCTTTCCGGCGAGAGTACCCCTCTCCTCAAAGACTCGATCCAGCTCCGTCCTGCCGATGCGACACTCGACGCCGACGGTCTTGACAAGAATGCCTTTCTCTGGGGTGGCACGAAGGTCCTCCAAATTACCCATGGAACGGCCGATGAAGAGAAACCCGTACTCTCTTCCGGAGTCCCTACGCCCCCTGACAATGGTGCCATGGCTATTGTGACCAAGACTGGTTTCGAGACTTCCCAGGGTAGCCTTGTCCGCACTATGATCTACTCTACTGAGCATGTCTCCGCTAATAACGTCGAGGCTCTGCTCTTCATTCTGTTCCTTCTGATTTTCGCCATTGCCGCCTCCTGGTATGTCTGGGATGAAGGTGTGCGCAAGGACCGCAAGCGTTCCAAGCTGCTTCTGGACTGTGTCTTGATTGTGACTAGTGTCGTCCCCCCCGAGCTGCCTATGGAGCTTAGTCTCGCTGTCAACACCAGTTTGGCCGCTCTGGCGAAATTGGCTATTTTCTGCACCGAGCCCTTCCGTATTCCTTACGCAGGCCGCGTCGATGTGGCTTGTTTCGACAAGACTGGAACTCTGACTGGCGAGGACCTCGTTGTTGAGGGCATTGCTGGACTTGGCTTGAACCACTCCGACGTCGAGGACAAGAAGGAATCTGACGGCGCTCACTCTACCATTATTTCGGTCAAGGGAGCGAGCATGGAAACACAGCTGGTCCTGGCCACTGCTCATGCCCTGGTTAAGCTCGATGAAGGAGACATTGTCGGAGATCCCATGGAAAAGGCCACTCTTACTTCTCTTGGCTGGACTCTCGGACGCAAGGATATTCTCTCAAGCACTGCCAAGGCCGAGGGCACTGTCGGCAGTGTTCAGATCAAGCGTCGTTTCCAATTCTCCTCTGCTCTGAAGCGCCAGAGCTCCATTGCCATGGTCAACGGTACCAACACGAAGACTGGTGAAAAGCTCAAAGGTACCTTCGCCGGTGTGAAGGGAGCTCCCGAGACTATCATGAAGATGCTGGTCGAGGTCCCTGCTGATTACGAGGAGACCTACAAGTATTTCACCCGCAAGGGTTCTCGTGTTCTGGCCCTGGCTTACAAGCAGCTGACTGTCGACTCCGAACTCGGTGCTGCCAAAATCAACGACCTGAAGCGAGAGAAGGTCGAGGCTGACTTGACGTTTGCTGGTTTTCTTATCCTCCACTGCCCTCTGAAGGAGGACGCCAAGGAGGCAGTGCAGATGCTGAATGAGAGCAGTCACCGTGTCATCATGATTACCGGTGACAATCCCCTCACCGCTGTGCACGTCGCTCGTGAAGTGGAAATTGTTGATCGCGATGTTCTCATCTTGGACGCTCCCGAGGACGACAAGGGAGCCGAACACCTCGTCTGGCGCAGCGTTGATGATCGTATCACCATCTCTGTCGACCCAACTAAGCCTATTGACCCCAAGATTATCAAGGACAACGATCTTTGCGTCACTGGATATGCCCTGGCTAAACTCCAAGGTCAGCCTGGATGGAACACTCTCATCCGTCATGCTTGGGTTTATGCCCGTGTCTCACCCAAGCAGAAGGAAGACATTCTGCTCAGCCTCAAGGATATGGGATACTACACCCTAATGGCCGGTGACGGTACCAACGATGTTGGCGCCCTCAAGCAGGCTCACATTGGTGTCGCTCTTCTCAACGGTACAAAGGACGACCTGACCCGCATCGCGGACCATGCTCGCAACACCAGACTAAAGGACATGTACCAAAAGCAGTGCGATTTGATGAAGCGTTTCAACCAACCTCAGCCACCTGCCCCTATCCTCATTGCCCATCTGTTTCCTCCCGGGCCTGCCAACCCTCACTACCAGAAGGCGGTTGAGCGCGAGGCCGAAAAGAAGGGCGTCTCTGTTCAGGAGTACGTCAAGGCTCTCGGTCACCCTCTTGAGACCATCACCACGCCGGCCGCTCAGCAGCTGATCAATGCGACCGACCCTCGTGCTGCTCGCCAAGCCGCTGCCCAGGCCAAGGCCGCGAGCTTCGCCGACAAGCTGTCTTCTGGCATGATGGAAGCCGAACTCGGCGAGGACGAGCCCCCCACACTGAAGCTCGGAGACGCGTCCGTTGCTGCCCCCTTTACGTCCAAGCTGCGCGATGTCATTGCCATTCCCAACATTATCCGTCAGGGTCGCTGCACTCTAGTCGCCACGATCCAGATGTACAAGATTCTTGCGCTCAACTGTCTCATCTCCGCCTACTCCCTGTCTGTTCTGTACCTCGAGGGCATCAAGTTTGGCGACACGCAGTACACTATTAGCGGTATGCTCATGTCCGTCTGCTTCCTCAGCATCTCACGCGCCAAGGTGGTCGAGGGTCTCAGCAAGGAGCGTCCCCAGCCCAACATTTTCAACATTTACATCATCGGATCCATCCTCGGCCAGTTCGCCGTGCACATTGTGACGCTCATCTACGTCGCCCGCCTATCTGAGCGGCTCGAGCCGCGCCCCACGGACGTCGACCTCGAGGCCGAGTTTGAGCCCTCGCTGCTCAACTCGGCCATTTACCTGCTGCAGCTCGTGCAGCAGGTCTCGACCTTTGCCATCAACTACCAGGGCCGTCCCTTTCGCGAGGCGCTCAGCGAGAACAAGGCCATGTTCTACGGCATCGTCGGCGTGTCCGGTCTCGCTTTTGTCTGCGCCATGGAGCTCATCCCCGAGATCAACGAGGCCATCAAGCTCGTGCCCTTTACCGACGAGTTCAAGCTCAATATGACCGTCGTCATGGGCCTCGACTTTGTCGTCTGCTGGGTCATCGAGGTTGTCCTCAAGTCCCTCTTCAGCGACTACCGCCCGCGCGACATTGCCGAGCGCCGCCCCGAGCAGCTCGCGCGCGAGGCCGCCCGCAAAAAGATCGTTGCCGACCAAAAGGCCGCCGAGGAGGAGGAGAAGCGCCTCGAAAAGGTGGCCGAGTTTGAGCGCAAGGTGGAAGAGCGCAAGAGGCAGCTGCAGGAGTGGCGGGCCGGTCGCCAGCGTCAGTGAAGCGGGACAAGGCCTCGTGGGGCGGGATGGGATGAGGAGGCTTGGTGGACGCTGTTCATTGCTGAAAGTACTCTACACTGGAGGAAATAGACCAGAAAATAATAGAAGTTGGGGTGAAAGGGGGGTTTATAGACGAAGGGGTGGAGTCTGCGCTTGCAATCTACGGCGAGTGGTGTGTGGCAGATGTTGAGAGACATTGACCGTCTCTGTATAAATAGATTTTCCATTTACCTCTATAATGTGCCACGCGCCCAAGTCTTTTTGCTTTTACAAAAAAAACCTAGGGTGGGCAGCAACGCCGTGTGTAAACTAGCCATTGACTTGCCGAGAGCGAGTGCACATCGTACATACGGCCTTTTGTAGTAGCATGTCACAGGATAGTTGGAATCAGTGGTGCTTTCAGACTCTATTGTGTCTAAAAGTTAAGCTCAAGCCGAATACATGTTAAAACAGAAAGTGACAATGGGCCTTTGGCTAAAAAGCGCCTTGGTCGCTGGCACAAAATCATGAGCCCATTCCTGCCCGTGATATTCCGAACTTGAGATTGCATGTCTCATTTTTCCTTCCTCCATCCTACAATACGATTTTTGTCATACAGGCAGAGAATCCATTTTTGTGCGTGGGCTAGGATGCTCTGCAGTTCGTCACCGCTGTACGCTGCCCAGCGAGACCACGGCTATTTTACACCAGTTCAAGGTGGTGAATGAATTTAGTTGCCGGGGTTCTGGGCAACGAAGGAGACACCCTTCTCAATGTTCTTCTTGAGGTCGACGATGCAAGCGTCGAGAAGGCCCTGCTCGGTAGCATCGACCTTGCCGACCGGGAGAATCTCCTTGACACCGTCGGGGCCGAGCTCGACCTTGGAGCTGAAGAATTCAATACCCTGGTCCTTGTAGAGGGGAGACTCGACAAAGGTGGGCTCAATGACCTTCTCGCCGGCAGCGGCGCGGAGGAGAGAGTCGGCCATGCGGGCACCAGCCATGGCCATGGAGAGGGTGGCAGAGCCAGCGCCGTCCTTGGCCTTGACGACCTCGTCACCACCAAACTGGACACGCTTGATGAGGTCAGCGTTGGCGCTCAGGTCGGGGTGGCTGCTCTGGCTGAAGAGAGGGACGATGGTGACGCCGGAGTGGCCACCGACGACGGTGATGTTCTCATCCTTGGGGTCGGTGCCCTTGATGGCCGAGACGAAGCGGCTGGCGCGGACGACGTCGAGGGTGGTGACACCAAAGAGGGTCTTGGGGTTGTAGACACCGTGGGCCTTGAAGACCTCGGCGCAGATGGGGACAGTCGAGTTGACGGGGTTGGCGATGACGAGCGTCTTGGCCTTGGGGGCCGACTTGGCAACAGCCTTGGCGAGGTCGCGGACGATGGAGGCGTTGGTGTTGAAGAGGTCGTCACGGGTCATGCCGGGCTTGCGGGGGACACCAGCGGGAATGAGGACAATCTCGGCATCCTTGAGGCAGGCGGCGAGACCCTCGGCGGTGGGCTCGTAGCCGGTGACGGTGGACTTGGTGTTGACGTGGGAGATGTCAGCAGCGACACCTAGAGGGCGGTTAGTTAGCCAGGCGGAAGGAAAACAAGAAGAACAAGAAGCTTGTGGGCGCATTTGCGAAGTCTCAATTGTGATCACGAGAGCAATCGCAAAGTGAGACAATGCAGGGTGCCAGCAAGGTTGGTATTTAACGCACCAGGGCCGCCACGGATGTCGTAGAGAGCGAGCTCGGTGACACGGGGGTTGAGCTTCAGGAGCAGAGAGAGGGGCTGGCCGATACCGCCAGCGGCACCGAGAACGGCCACCTTGGAGAGCTAAAAGGCCGGTGACGGTTAGCAATTGCGTCGACGCGATACAGAACGACAACAGGGACCAATGACGCAGGGGGGACAAGAAGTTCGGGTAGTGCCGAACGGGGGGGGCGCTCAACGGCCGGAAGCTATGGGGAGCGAGGAGATGGAAACGTACGTTGCGGGCCGAGGCAGAGAAAGCCCGGGTCTGGATTCTGGAGGCAGCGAACATTGTGACGGGTGAGGTGAGGATGGGGGTTGGAGAGGTTGTAAGAGAGAAAGGTCAATTGGGGGGAGAGTAACAAGGTTGAGCGCTTGTCGGGAAGAAGTGGTTTGAGGGAAAAGGGCGTCTGGTTTGGTCCGTTGCTCGGTCAGATGGGGCGCTGGGGGCTTGTTGCTGGCCTGGCTTGTGGCCTTGGGGCGACGAACGGCGAGAAAAAAAAAAAGCCACATGCACTAGCCTCTGTGTGGCTGTGGTGGGTGGGTGAGGAACGGGCATAGCTCGGCGGTGCTCGGCTATGCCATCGTACCGCCCAAATGACAAATGACAAGCAATGAAGATGAAGGGACATGGAGCTGATTGCCAGGGCGGACCCTGCCTGCGACCCTGCGACCGAATATTACTACACATGGTTACATGGTCCCAGAGTAATCCGAGAGGATCATCACATTCTCGTGGAGTGGACGCCTATTACCAACCTAGACTTGGCCATCACGAACATTGCATGTAAGTATTAAGCGGCGACCTGAGTAATCCCTGAATTATATACCGGTATACAAGGGCTTCTATGAAAAGTCCTGCTTCGTGGGTAACTACTACCTAATACTTGGTATTACTCTCCAATATCGCGTGCGCAATGCTACTCGTCTGCCTCTGGGCAACCATTTTTTGTATTACAATGTCATCCGCAATAGCTCTGCCTGCAATAATTGCGGTAGATCAAATACCAGCTAGCAGTAGACAAACAATGCGAACAATGGATGTAATCATTCACCCCAACTTGATGCCTTCTTTTTTTCTCCTCAGTGTTTCCAGTCTTGCAGCCAGTTATTAGCCACCATCCTGCCACAGATAATGTAACGCCATACAATTCATTGAAAATCAATTCTTTCCAATTTTTTGACCCCCTTCCTCATTTTACAATATTCCATCTGTACTTCGATGTGCTCGACCAACTCCTCCTTCCAAGCAACTTCCCTAACTAGCGCCATCGGCGAGTGACGCATCCTGGCGGGGCACTCACAGTTCTCACGACGGAGCGCAAACACACTCATTCAACCATCACCACCACCGCAGCCCATTCCTTGCTCGCCACCATGTCGCGGGCCCAGCTGTCGCAGCTTCTGCCTCTGCCCGAGGACGATCTGCAGCAGGTGCTCGACTACGGCAAGACGCTCTCCAAAGCCGACGCCGCCTCGCACTTTAGCAACCTGCTCGGCGACTCGCCCCTCGCCATCGACTTTATCGCGTCGTTTAACGCCCGTCGCGAAACCCCTGCCGCCGCTTCTTCAAGCGCCGCCGCGTCCGCCTCCTCTTCCGGCATCGACGGCGTGCCCCGGCCGAAGCGCGGCGGCCCCAAGAAGAAGAAGGCGCCGCTGCACACACCCCCGGCCCGCCTCCTCGATTCATACACCGGCCCGTCCGTCACAGCGTACAACAAGCAGCACGGGGATCTCGACTACATCTCACAGCGCGCCAGCGCGCCGCCAAGCAACCACGCGTCACAACCCGCGACACCGCCCTCCGCCGCGCCGAGCAGCGGTCAGCCTCCAAAACAGCAAGCCGCCCCCAAGCAGCACGCCTCGTCCACCGGCTTCCTCATCGCCGAGTCCCTCGGCAAGCCCAAGGCCAAGTCCAGCCCCAGCACACGCAGCTCCACGCCCAAGCCCGGCAGCAGCAACGCGACCAAGATTTCCATTTCCGGTGGCACGCCCATGGCCGGGGCCGCGACGGCCGTCGCTGACCTCGACGCCGCCATCCGCGCCCTCGAGGTCTCGACCAACCCGTCCCTCGACGACCCCCAGACGCGGCGCTGCCGCTGCGTCGCCACGCGGCACCCGCTGCAGACGGCCGCGCCCAACTGCCTCGCCTGCGGCAAGGTGATTTGCGTCAAGGAAGGCCTCGGGCCGTGCACCTTTTGCGGCGCCGCCCTCATCGCGCCCAGCGAGGTGCAGGCGCTCGTGCGCGCGCTCAAGGACGAGCGCGGCCAGGAGCGCATGGCCGCGCACGCCAACGCCCACCGGCGCGCCGCGATTTCGCAGACGCCGGCGCCCTTTTCGCAGCCACGAGGCCACTTTGGCACCGCCGTCGTCGAGGCCGGCCCGTCGCTCGCCGAGGCCGCCGCCGCCGAGGCCCGCGCGCACCGCGACAAGCTGCTCACGTTCCAGGCGCAAAATGCGCAGCGCACCACGGTCCGCGACGAGGCGTCCGACTTTGACGTCACCGCCGCCGTCGCCGGTACCGGCGGCAGCATGTGGGCAACGCCCGCAGACCGCGCGCGCGAGCTCAAGCGCCAGCAAAAAGTGCTTCGCAAGATGGAGTGGAACGCCCGGCCCGAGTACGAGAAGCGCCAGCAGGTCCTGAGCATCGACCTGGTCAACGGCCGCGTTGTCCGCAAGATGGCGGCCGTCGAGCGGCCGCCGACGCCCGAGGACGAGGATGAGACGATTCTCTCGCAGAGCGCCGCGGCCGGATCACACAGGAGCGCGGCGGGCGGTGCCTTTAGCAGCAACCCGCTGCTCGGATCGCTCATGAAGCCCGTCTTCACGCCCGCCAAGGGCAAGGAGACGGCCACGGGTGGTGCTGGCCGAGGGGATGGGGACGGCGCGGGAGACAAGGAGGCGGCGCGAACGCGGCGCGCACAGCGCAAGGGCTGGCGCCGGGTGCAGGACGACCAGGACGACAACGAGGGCGTGATTCTAGACGGCGGCATCCACGGCCATGCGATGGGCGCGGCCGGCGACGAGCCAGACTGTGGGTAACTGACGACAATCGGGCATGCGTGAACATTGGGCGTTTCATCACGATTTATAAAAAAGGCATCTATAGAGGTTCTGAGTGTTCATTTACACGGGGGCATACATATTCAAAAGCCCATCACATGAAAGCTCTCCACAATCTTGACTCCCAGTTCATCATGTTTAGGAAACTGATTTCATTGATTAAAAGTTGTAAAAAGGCATTTGTCGTAATCTGAAAAGGCAATTATTGCGACAAAAGTATGTATACAGAGGCAACTTGTCAAAAAAGAAAATTGTCAAAAGAAATGACACGACGAAATCGCAGGAAGAAATAGTCGAAACCAAAGAGAGATTATACGCCGGAAAGATTGCATACGTTTCCCTCTTCAATGAGAGAAAAAGAAACCAACCAAAAAATAAAGAACCGTCCAACCCTACTTTTTGTTACATCAGACCATGCCAGCCCATTTTTCCCTGGCTCTCAAGGAGCCCAGCCCTCCCTCCCATGTTCCTCTCGTCGAGAGCAGATTCAGTTCGTGACAACAATTGTGGCATGGCGTAGAAAGAAACCTCACCGAGATGGTTGCAGCCAGCCACGCAATATCCCGCCGAGGTCAAGAAAAAATGCAAATGTCAGAGGGCAGCTGACAGATGGCGGGAGTGCTCGCTCCCTGTTGTTGCCAAATCGGGTTTCCAAAATGAAAGCCCAACACGCCCAAATCAATCAAGTGGTATACATTGTCCGACAACGCTGCCAAGGTGCCCCCGTCTCGAGTACGAATCGTTCCCACGCATTGGTGTACAGGTTGTCGACGCTTACACGCGCTTGGCTTTGCGCTTGCGAGGGAGACCCCGGGCTTTACGGTCCTGGGCATCGACCTCGGCGAGCCACCTGCTGGCCTTGACCAGTTGAACGACGTTGATGATATTCTTGGCGAACATGATGGGGAAGCTGATGCCGGCGAGGATCCAGGGAACGGTGGAATCCATCTTATTGGCGCGCGCGAGCTCGAGAGCGGCGGCGCTGTAGGGGTCGGGGAAGAACTGCTTGAGCAGCGAAGCGTTCATCGGGGCACCGGCCTCGATGTGGGTACCGCTTGACTCCTCGACCGACTTGATGAGATGAGGCGAGAGGAGCGGCGAGGAAAAGGACAAGAGGTAGAGAGCGATGAAGAAGAGCTCGTTGAGGCCGCAAAAGATGAAGAGGACAGTCTAGTGATTTGTGTGCTGTTAGTCAACGCTGCGACGAGGGTCACAGGGCCAGTGTAGAGGGAACAAACGCGGTTGGTATAGTAGAGGTTCAAGAGCCAGCTCTTGCTCTTGTCAATGTTCTTGTGGCTTGAGTCGACGCCGCCAACGACGAGCGTGACGTACATGTGCATGTAGTGGCTGGAGAAGTCGAGGGCAATGAGGGCCTGGAAGAGAATAGCCCAGCGGGGAAAGGCCGAGGAGAGGAAGACGAGCAGACACGAGGTGGTGCAGCGATCGGTGACCATGTCGAGGACGGCGCCGAAGCGGGTCGACTGTTCAAAGACGCGAGCGGCGTAGCCATCGAGGGCGTCGAGCAGGCACGAGATGCTATAGAGGAACGCGCAGGTCCGCGGGTGGAGGGGCATATAGTAGAGTGAGGCGATGGCGAGGACGATTCGTGAATAGCCTATGGAAGAACAGAGGTCAGTCAGGTTCATTGTCTAGCTAGGGGATGCGCGCAGGGCGGCGTACCGATGAGATTAGGCCAAAAAAGAAAGATGTTTTCGCGCGTCTCCTCTACATCTTTGCTGGTGGTGACGGGCTCGGCGTGTGCCGAGCCGTTGCCATTCATGGTGACGACGGCGACGCCATTTGTCGTCTGGGGCTGCTGGTCCAGGAGCTGCGCGTTGTCGTCTGAAGGAGGGGACTGGGCGTCGCGGTTGCGCGCGGATCGTCGTCTGGTCGAGCGGGCAGACATGGTTGGGGTTGGGGGAGTAAGTCGCTTTTCTTTCTCACAACTGATGATGTAGAGGAGAGTTTGTCGGCGACGAAGCGCAGTTGTCGAGATTCGGCGGGTGGACGGTGGCAACCGATGGTTCCGGCGTGTGTGTGGTTTTCGGCAGGGGGTTTGAAAGCCAGCAAGGGACCTAATGAAGCTTTTTTTTTTTCTCTCTGACAGGAGATGGCGCACAGATGCGGGGGGAAGGACGGGTGCCCAATGTCGTAGAGGATTAAAAAGAAATAAGTGAAACGAAAAAAAAAAGTTGAAATGGAAGAGATGGCGAATAGGTAGATAAGGAGTGGACACGAAGTGAAGAAAGTGGAAAGTCAAGAGGTAATCAGAGAAGAGGGTTTCCTTGTGCAGGCAGTGTGGAAGGAAAGGAGGGAGCCAAGTGCCAAGTTCGTCGGTTACGTGCTAACTACAAATTATGTACCTACTAATAATCAGTCATAATCAGTAACATTAATTATTATAAAGGTAAAGACCATTATCTCTCTGATAGCGCTAAATAGGTAGTTAGCACAAGTGGCTATTTATAATAATTATTCCGTAGTTGACTCTCCATTTCATCATCATCTTTTTTAATCACTTGGATAGTGCATAGCAGTTCTTCGAAGCTATTCAAGTCACTGTATCTTCTGATTCCACCACCACGAAGCCCTCCCTCCGTCTCTCTTCACTAGGTACCTACCTACCTACTTAGGTACCTAATGTATCAACCAAAAATCCAAAAATGGGCAATACAGCCTCAGACAGCTTATTCGCTGCCAACCTGCCAACGAATAGCTCCTCCACAAACTCTCCAAAAACTACGCACCAACTCTTCCATGCCAATCAATCCGCTCCGCCCACGACCCGCGCCGTCAAACTCAATAGTTATCAGACCCTCGCTTTTTCGTACTGCCCCAAGACGCTTGCATGAGCCGGCCCCCAATCCCCCTCAGGTGGACCAGGTCGGCCGAGGCATCTCGCCTCATCTGCATGCCAGCCTCACCACTTACACACGTACACGGGCATCAACTGGGGATGAAGCTGGCCTAGCTCTTATGCGGTACTCCGTACACTACGCCGCAAAGCTTCTTCAGCCCATGGATGATAACACTTGATAGAAACGGACGGCCCTTGATCTCTTCCAACTTTTTCCATCTCCCATCTGGGCCAATTTTTCTCCGTCAGCCATCCCACCAAGTCATCAACCGATGCACAAAAAAAAGGCAGTTCGTTACATTTATTATCCCTTCCCACGTCAGTGGCCGCTCCCACCGCGGCTCGTCCGGGGCTGCGCGGAGGGTTTGTGGACCCCTGGTAATCCGGGGACCGGACGTCCCAATTCACCCACGTGCTCTTACGTCCGTCGCTCTCTATTTATACAGGCAAGAGTGGTGAGGGCAGTCAAAGCCTTTTCCATTACCTACTCCGCCATATCTTGGCATGCTTTGTTGCTCCTCGTAATAAACCCCGCGATCAGTGGCCCCCGGAGCCATCGGATCACATCGTTGTCCCGCATCTGCCGTTCGGGGGATATGTACCCAGCCATGCTTCCTCGAATCTGGCCTTCCACTTCCATCATAGACTAGTTTGATCCTAGACATGGATTCACAGGACGGACACCTGTCAAGAAAGTTGCCACTACCACATTAGCGCAGGCCTTGCCAAATCACTCGCTTCGCGCGCCTCGCCGTCCCATGTAGAATTTCCAACATGCCTCTCGCGCGTAGACTTTTTCTGCATTGTTCAGCGTAACATGAGATACGATATATGTTGTTTCTTGTCGTCGATACTTTGTTTGATTAGTTTCCCGTACATAAGTCGGCCCAAGTGGGCTTTGTGGACGAGGGGGCGGCGTTCCCTCTCGGGCCCGGGTCGAGCCGAGGGTAGACGCCGCCGCTACTCGCCATGGCGCCTGAGATGATAGTAGCGGAAACATGTGTATTCGCGGCTTCTTGTATCGGACGATGGAGGGGTATGGTGAGCAATATCAACCAGAGAGGGCTGGTTTCTACGCCGCAAGGCACCTGTATCAGCAGTACTGTGTTTACTTTGGAACACAAGTCAGATGAATTATGCATTTACAGTATACCTTTTATCTTCTTTGTATTCAGTCTATAATTGACCCATGTACCAGTTTTATTTTCCTTATTGTCTGCTCGGGGCTGTACGACACTGGACTTGCGGTGTGCCCATGACTGTCGTGCAGAATGTGAGCGTGCAGCTCAGCATACTGACAAGCACGTCAATCCCAAACGTCTAGGCAATGGCTATACGTAAGTAAAATGCAGCTCCCGGAGCTCCAATACCGCCCTTCTACTCCAAAGGTTGCTACCGGATCACACGAGCCGTGTGCCGTTCTGTCCGTCCTACCACAAAACCTGTATCCTCCGGCGGCGCGTTTACCCGTCCCCTCTGCCTCGCACAAACACAATATGGTCACTAAACAGTATTCATTGCATGTCTCGTGCGGTAGAAAGTCTCGGGGGTGCATTGCCGATGCACTGGCATGGCACTGCAGATGGCATCACACGTCAGGTAACACTGGGCGGGAGCTTAATATGTAGGTAGGCATTCGCCTTTTCGCGGATCACAACATGGTATTGATTAGGCTATTTTTAAAACGCGAGCCCTTGTCGCGATATATTGCCATCGGAAATTAACCGCAAATCATCATCGAGTTAGGGTTACCCGTCGCCCGTCTCGGCCAACGACAGCCAAAACAGGTGGACTGTTGTTGGCAATGTCTCGGCTTGCTCTTCGGGGCGACACTTGCAGCTTCCCCGAGACTACGTACTGCGTATCATGGATCAAAACACGTCAAGTACTCCGTTTAAGGTGCATCTTGAAGATTTTACACAGAAACGCCTGTTTCACTTCAATGGCCGCGAATAGCGGACGTCTGGTTTGAATAGCTCGATCCACATGATGTGGTCCTGCCGCTCTCATTTAGCATTTCATGGCGTTTCAGCGGCACAGTTATGCTGTGGCATTTTGCGACAACACACGTTGCCCGCATAAATATCTTTGCCCAGTAGAAAAACGCCAAAAATAACCATAGCCAGGGTTGATCGCTTGTACGAGATGCGATAACATAGTTATGCGCGTTCCTGCCTGACTCGGAGGAAAGAGAAAAGCACACCAAGGAAGGCGTGACGAGAGCCGTCGGCTCGTATGTATGCGGCACTATAAAAGAAACTAGAGGTGCGTTAGTGCATAGGGAGTATTGTGTTGTTCCGAGACCGTTGCACTGGTTTCTGGCATCAAAAGCAATGACTACATGGCGGCTGAGGCAGGGTGGACATAGGGTCTTGTCAAGAAAATCATGTTTCCTTGTGCAATGTGACAAGACTGGCTGAGAGCACGGCGGCGCCGAGGAGGCTCCGGTGTCGAAACGGGGAAAGGCAGTCCTGGTTGGGCACTGTCGATTGCCGAAGAGACCAGCCCATGTCCGTAGCAGGCGACGGGGTTGCGCCGTGACGGGTTGCGGGATTGGCCGTCGGCAGCGATTCGACCCTGCCGCAAAGGCCCGTGGCCCGGACGCTGGTGAGATTTCCGTTCTAGTCCGAAGGCAAGCCAGGTAGGTATAACTAATGGCATGTGCATCAGTCGGGGATCCATGGCTAGTTGCATTGGCTGGCATGGGAGTCGGGGATGTCTCGTCAAGCGATGTTTCGTTTGGAAGTGCAGGTGGTTGCAGACCACGACTGACAGGTTAATCGTTAATCGCGCATGGCGTCTGGTGTCTCACATGCTGGTGCTGGTGCTGGCGCTCGCAATGGCAGTTCATTAGTTAATTAGTATAGCGGTTTTTTTCGCGGAGCTTGTGTCAGTTGAAGAAGGCAGCACGGAATACGTGGTAATCAGCCATGTCTGGTGGCTTGCAACTGTGGATGGACAGCATGGTTGCAGCGAGGAACACGTCATGGGTTTCTCGGAGAGACCGCGAGTTGGAAAAAATTGAGGGCTGGCGATTGATGCCGTTTTGGTGCTGGTGAATCGTGCGATGATTAGGTTTCGAAGGCTTGGGGGGCTCGTCTCGTGTGCGGGATGGAGGGTTGGCGGGGGTGTGCAAGGAACTGTTTGGAGGGCCAAGTTGTCGAGGTTTGCTAGCTGGCAGACTAGAGAGAGATGTGGCTTGGGTCCGTAGGTGGATGAAGGCGGCGGATGCGGTGGGCAGTGCGGAACGAGTTTGGTGGAATATGCGCATGGAGTGTTTGTGGTTTGATAGTGGCGAGTCTGGATCGTGGTGATGGTGGATCGAAGCTGGCGCCCCGCCAAAGCAGGCAGGAGGTCGTGGGTTGGGTTCGTGGAGGCAGGGGAATTAGTGGTAGAATCGGGCAGGTCATATTTGAACAAAAGTCGAGAAGAGCGGGAGGGAAGAGGAAGCAAGAGGGCCGATCCTGATGGTGACATTGAGCCAGGGCAAAGGGGATCTACAGCATGCGGCATGCAGCAGCAAACGACGCCGAGCTGTCAGGTACCAAGTATCAGGAGGTAGGTAAGGTAGGTATGTACATCCGTACATACTTCCTGTTAGACGGACAGGCAAGGTGAGTTGGGCGGCGTGGCGTGTGCCAGGTGCCAACACCTTAGTATCTACGGTAGGTACAAAGTGTGGCTGGACGCTGGTGGTGGGGCTGGTTAGCGGGGCGCCCCAGTGCTGGATGGACAGCTGGTCGTTCGTTACCTTCATAAATAATACTTGGTACACTGGCAGGAAGCCATAACTACATGATTCCGTCCATAAGAGCGGGCAATATCAAGAGACTGGTTCAGCTAGCTACCTGTTATCGGATGGATACTTCCGACTGGTGACTGGAGTGAGATTGCTACTTTGCAGCAAGTCGTCTTTGCGTTTTATTCTCGAGAGAGGCTGCAAAAGTGGCGCACGAGCTGCTGGGGGGCAGCAGACGCACAACTAACTCGACTCGCTATGTTGTTGTATTCGCCTCCAAATATGTTATTAGCTGCAGCTACGGATAAGAAAATAATCGTTTCTCTTATAAATCGTTTTTACACGCCGCCACTTCCCGGTATTTTCTCTACTATCTAGGTTCATACAACTCGGCCTTACACTGCCAATTTATGCCAGTTTCCTTTTTGCACTGCTTCCTTGCTTTTTTCCTTTGATTAAATTTGCTCCCAAATTGAGAGAAAAAAAACCCCCCAAGAAACCCAAGAAAAATCTCGTTTGCCTGCAACACTGTCTAGGCTGCCGTTTGATCGATTCTCATCTCCAAACCGCCCCCCCCCCTTCCTGTTTACTCCGTACTCATCCGCATTCTCTTCCACCCTTCAACACCACATCACATCACAGACCACCCTCTTCCCTCCCCCTTTGGCCTACCGTCTGCCCTCCATTCCCAACGTTAGCCCATTAACCAGTTTCATCTCCCCAAAGCTTGGCTCAGCCGCTGCCCACTGCATCATCCTGCCAGCCGGCCTCTCCGTGTACCAGTACGGATACCAGGACACGACATCTCTATCGCTGACACAATTGTTGCCCGCCCCTCCAACGGAAACCCCTCCACGGCCTCATATTCGTCCACTTTTTGTGCGCGCCTCGTTTATTAGCCGCGTTGCTTTTCAGGACCCGGCAAGGGCAAGGGAAGAAAAAAAAAAGCCCCCTCGGTCAGCGACGGGACCTTGCAGCCTTTGTCACACCCTCGCTAGGCTGCGTTTCTTTTTATGATCCCGCTCTTATTAGTTACTGCTACTCCTGCAATACCCCAACTTGCACCATTACCCTGGCTCCTCGACTGACCCCGGTTTGCTTCCTTGTCCCCATTCTCCCTATATCTATCTAGGCCCACCACGCTTAGACCAACAAAGGCGTCGAAAAAAACGCCCGCTGACTTTGCCTAAAACTCTACCCTTAAAAGCTCTCTTCCTACCTTGACGCCTCATCCCAACATCTTGCTCTATTCTGGCGCGCTCTCCTTGATCTCGGCCTCCTTTTACTCGTCACCTCCGTCGTCCTGGTCCCTCCAACCTTTGTCGTCCACCGTCCTTCCCGCGCAGCCTCTGCTCGCTCCACTGGTGCTGTCAGTCGAAATCGAAATCGAAATCTCACCTCGGCAGCCTCTCATTCGCTACACTGCGCTCTACGACTGATCCACGGATAGCTCCCTCGGCTGCATCTTGGCCTCCGTCTCAAGTCTTGAAGAAGCGAACTGGACTCAGCTACTGCAAACATGGTGGCTCCTCACCCTACTCTCAAGGCTACCTTTGCCGAGAGGGCTGCCACAGCCGCTCATCCTCTCAACGCTTATCTCTTCAAGTTGATGGATCTCAAAGCCTCGAACCTCTGCCTGAGCGCTGATGTCGCCACCGCTCACGAACTTCTCTACTTTGCTGACAGGATCGGCCCCGCCATTGTCGTCCTCAAGACCCATCACGACATGGTGTCTGGATGGGACTTTCACCCTGAGCGTGGTACCGGCGCCAAGCTCGCTGCTCTAGCACGCCGCCACGGCTTCCTCATCTTTGAGGATCGCAAGTTTGGAGATATCGGCAACACAGTCGAGCTGCAGTACACCAGCGGCTCGGCGCGCATCATTGAGTGGGCTCACATTGTCAACGTCAACATGGTTCCCGGCAAGGCCTCCGTCACCTCACTGGCCAACGCTGCCTCGAGATGGCTTGAGCGTTATCCTTGCGAGGTGCGAACCTCGGTAACCGTCGGGACTCCGACCACAGAGCAATTCGACCACGAGCACGAGGAGCAGGAAGTCGCACCCGCGACACAAGACCTGCCACCCGTGTCTCGACGAGAAGATGGCCGCAAGGGAAGCATCGTTTCCGTCACCACCGTCACACAAAAATACGAGTCCGCTCTGTCGCCGCGCCTGAACAAGGGTATCAGCGAGAGCGACGAGATGCTGTTCCCCGGTATCGAGGAAGCCCCCCTGGAACGCGGCCTGCTCATCCTCGCGCAAATGTCGAGCGAGGGTAATTTCATGAACAAGGAGTATACACAGGCCTGCGTTGAGGCTGCTCGCGAGCACAAGGACTTTGTCATGGGTTTCGTGTCCCAAGAAGCTCTCAACGCCCAGGACGATGATGTATTTGTGCACATGACGCCCGGCTGCCAATTGCCGCCCCAAGACGAGGTCAACGGCACGCTCAAGGGTGACGGCAAGGGCCAACAATACAACACTCCCGCTAGCATCATTGGCGTTGCTGGCTCCGACATTGCCATTGTCGGACGCGGTATCCTCAAGGCCAACGACCCGTATGAGGAGGCCGAGCGATATAGATCCGCCGCATGGAAAGCATACACGGAGAGAGTGCGGTGATGGCACCACTTCGTCTTCATTTGTTTTTTTTGCATATACTTGGCTTGCTTTGATTATGGTTATTTTGGGCTATGCTGTTTTTCTTTCCCTTACCTTTTACGATGTCGTATGAGTGAACTTGCTTGGAATGGATTTATCTTTTTTTCTTTTTTCTTTTCTTTTTTTTTGGTTGCCTCGTCTGCTTCTTCATACCCTCTTCGCCTGAAGATGAGAAAAAGTTGTTGCCAAGCGTGGAGCACTGGAAGGAAAAGCATCGTGATGCGCTTGACAGATGAAATGAGATGAACGAGATTGAAAGAGAACATGATTTTCAACTTTGAGATCCAACGCCCATTCGCATCGTCATTGTTGGCTCGGCCATTTGTTCAGTAGAAACTGTTGTATAATCCGAGTTCATGATGATATATCAATAATCTAGGCCGTGAGTCAAGCGGCTGTTTGTTCGACCCACCCATTGCGCGGACTTAACGGCCCGTAGACGTCCCTGATAACCTTTTTGAGACTTCAGCAAGTAGCGACTGTCACGTCATTAATAATACAGAATAGGCTAGTTCTCTGTTCCATCAATCGAACTTTGTCTCTTTCACCTCGCACTTCGTTTTTCTTCCTCACTTGCGACGACGCGGATAAACCATCTCGTAGCGCAACAACAGTCTCCGCCGCCGCAGCCCACTAGGTACCAGTCTACACCTGTCCGCCATCTCTGGAAATCGTTCTTCACGTTGCCGCCCTGGTCGTGTCTCGCGTATCGAGCGATTCAACGCGTGACTGTGACAGTTTGCCATACGCCCCCTCACACGAATATCCTGCCCGCCCAGCATGGCAGACATGATTGGGTTGCTGGTTGAGACGCGCCCGCCCGCGAGGAAGAGGAGAAGAGTCGTCATATCCTGTTTCGAATGCCACCGGCGAAAGCAAAAGGTACAACAGACGCTCTATACTGGCGGGTGTTCAACCCCGATTCTGGCTATTACACCCCCCCCCCCAAATAGGCAACTTGCTAACACTCCCCTCCTCTGCGTCCATCCAGTGCGACAGAGAGCTGCCGTGCGGGAACTGCGTCGCCCGAAATCGAGAAGCGAGCTGCGCCTACGAGGCCAGCGCACCGACATCCAAGACCCTGAAAGAAAACGGCGTAGCGGCGGGAGGTGCTCCCGGCGACAGATCGCGCCCGACGGAGAGCCCTCCGCGGGCGCACGCGACCGGCGACGGCCCCGCACGACGCGGCAGCGGCGACGATCCGACGCTGTCCTCCATGGCCGCGGCGCTAGGCTACTCGCAGACGCGGCCATCGACGCTGAGCCTGCTGCGCACCATTGAGACGGCCGACCAGCAGCCGGGCGGCGGCGGCGCATCATCGCGGTACCGCGGCGCGGACTCGAGCGCCGCCGGCGAGCTGGCCCCGATTCGCGAAAAGTACAAGGGCCTGGTGCGGCAGCTGCCCGCCAAGACGTACATTGACCGGCTCGTCAGCATGTACTTTGAGGACCTGCACCACCAGTACAACTTTGTCGACCAGGACACCTTTTTCGAGCAGCTCGACGAGTGGAACCGCTTGCCGTTTACGCTGCTCTCGTCGCCCGAGGGCCTGCGGCCCGCCATGCGCTTCTTCCCCGCGCTGCTCTTCCAGATCCTCGCCACGGCGCTGCTGCTGTTGCCGCCGGGCACCCCGGACCCCGTCTTTGACTCGCTCAAGTACGCCGGCGGCATGACGTTTGAGAACCTCGCGACGGATTACAGCGATTCCGGCGCGGCCATTGTCAACCTGTTTGGCAAGAACGCGCTGGACGAGGTGACGGTGCAGGCGCAGTTTATACGTGCGCTGTTTCAAAAGTACACGGCGCGTGTAATTGAGTGTGTATGTGCAGACATTCCTTGTTGTGGTCTATCGGTAGTGTGGCTGACCTCTTCATAGTGGCATGGCATTGCCGCAGCCATCCGGGACGCTCAAGAATTGGGCATGCACCGCGACTCTCTAGATCCGAAACCTGAAGACTCGAGCGTCGAAAGCATACTGAAAAACCAATGGCGCATATTACATAGAAGGAAAATGTACATGATGCTCGTCTCATGGTACGTTCCCTACGCATCCTTCCCTCTCCCACTAATCTAACCAGTTATCGCATTAGGGACATCAACATGGCCGTCTTCCTGGGCCGTCCAGGCAGCGTTGTGTGGGCGCACGGGCTTCCTTCGCTCCCCGTCGACGCGCCGACGCCGCTGGACTGCGCCAAGACGCCGATCGAGTCGCGCGACCAGGCAGTCGATCCGCCGACGCTCATCACGCGGCAGCTGTTCCTCTTCAAGATTGGCGAGGCGCTCCGGTACGTGCTCGACCTCGAGCCGGACGGGTCGCACCCCAAGGACTTTTCCAAGGTGGACCACGTGCACCAGCTGATGGAGGCGCTGCGCGACGACACGCCGGCGGCGTTCCGGCTCGCGAACCCGGACCGGCGCTGGGACGAGCACCCGGCGTGCGCGGGGTGGATCCACCAGTCGCGGCTGTACCTGGAGCAGCTGCACTACTTTGGCATCATGGCGCTGCACCGGCCGTACATTTTCCACCGGCGGGCGAGCCGCGTGGCGGCGCTGCGGGCCGCCGTCAACATGCTGGGCATCCAGCGGCAGACGTTTGACGGCCTGCCGCTGATCCAGTGGCGCGGGTTCCACCTCTTCTTTGGCAGCTTCGACGCCGTCGTCGTCATCGCGTCCATCTTCATCCTGTTCCCGCACGAGAGCCCCGAGCTGCGCGACAGCGCCGTCCGGCGCTTCCACTGGACCATTGCCAAGTTTGAGGCCATTCGCGAGCACAATTCCGTGGCGCGCGCCGCGCAGGGCGTTCTGACCGCCATTCGCTCGCGCTTCATCAAGGCCATTGGCAGTGGGACGCCCGGGCCGAGCCCCGACACAGAGGCCGGCGCCGCAGACCAGACGACGCCGGACAGCGGCCGACTAGACCCGGCGGCCGGCGGCGGCAGCAGCAGCAGCAGCGGCCTCTCGACGAATGACGTGTCGCTGGGCATCTCGCCGAGCGCCGGGAGCAGCGCGGCGGAACCCTGGGGCGCGGCCGGGTGGTCGCTGCCGGAGGCCAGCCTGGCCTCGCTGGCGCCCATGTACCCGACGTCGGATCTGCTCTTCAACGACCTGATGGTGAAGCAGGGTGAGGCGGACCTGGCAAACTGCACGCTGGACGCCATCGGCGCGCAGCAGATGGCTGGTGATGGGTTCGGCATGACGTGTCAGTTTGATGGCGACTTTGCGGCGGATAATACGTTCTGGCAGTTCCTGAACCACTTCAACCCCGAGTTTACGAGTTGATATGCAAAACCAAAGCAATATGATATGATGTAAGCGATTGGGTTTAGTTTATTTGAATGTTTAGCAATTGTCCGTTTACATTCTTCTTTAAAAACTCTCCTCTAGTAAGAGTAAATTTACAAGGAAAAGTAACTAGTACTTTTTAAAAAGAAGACTACTTACTATATTCTTTATTTTTTAATACCTATATTTTATGAAATAGTTTTACTACTTTATAGAGTTAAGGAGCAATTATTAAAAAGTATAACTTTTACTATAGATTAACAGTATTTTAGACTTCTTGTGGGCGACCAACAAGAGCTCCATTAACATCTCGCCCGTCATGATGGGCTTCTTTAACCGCTGGGTTCGCCCGGGGAACCTGAGCATTCCGCTCGACGCCCGGGGTAGGTTCGAGGTTAACGGCTGTAATAACTAAGAGAGCATGTGAACGTAAGCGGCATAATTGTGCATTTTCCAATCAAAATTGTGACGCGAGATGGCGAAATGGGCTGCATTGCATGGTGATGAGCTGGTTCCAGGAAAAATGCGGACGCATGCGTGCGAGTGAAAGCTATTTACTCGACTCGCTATCATAGCAATATGATTATTCGACCAATTGCTTGCATGACGGACGTGGCAAGAGGCCATTCTCATCATCTAAAGTACATTGTTTATAACCATCAATGTGCAATCATGCTCTGTAGATTTACATGTAAAGAGCAAAGTAGTGTATTATGGCCGGGATCGTACAGTTTCGATTTCAAAGGCACTGAGGGTTCGGAAAGTAGAGCCGCTAGAAGCAAACCAAAAGAGCAATCGAAGACACACAAGAGACATTGGCACCTCAGACGAATAGGCGGAATTACGGAACCGAGCCGGCTTCTGATGCGAGTGAAGCCACGCAATCACGGTGCAGGGGTACTTTTGAGGTAATAATAGTATCTGAACATGCGCTTTAAACCCCTCTTTATTAATAGCCCCCGGGAATGCTTTTAGAAGCATGATGCTTGTAAAATCCAGAGTAGTCTTGGCGTAGAAACAGGGTTCCCCCTCGGCAGATATCGTAACTAGCGTGTTACCCCGCGCTTGAAAGGCTTGTTCAGTCATGCGACGGCTGGAAGAGGAATATTTTACAATACATTGAAATATGCATCAGAAAATGGCGCGTCAAGCGTACCTGAGGCTGACATTATGAAGTGAATGGCTGTGCAATGCAAGGAGCTCCCGCTCCCACCGTTATGATATTGCTCAACCATGGACGGGTATTCTATACTGCAGGGGGGGGAGCTATAGTTGTATAAATAAGCTGGTCTTGCTGCCTTGAAGATGGCCAGATTAGCTTGATCTTGTGTCCCATTCCTTTGCAAGATATGCTTCATTCTACTTCCTTTCTTGCCGTGGCCTTGCTGGCTCTGCCGGCCGCTGCCGCCAATATCACGACCCCGAAACCCGGCGGCAGCTGCCAAGGCAAGAAGAGCACGCGGCCTAATATTGTATTCATCATGGCCGATGACCAGGACAAGACGATGGCCTCGACGGACTACCAGCCCCTTCTGAAGAAGTACATTGGTGAACAGGGCACGGAGTTTCACAAGCACTTTTGCACCGTCTCGCTCTGCTGCCCGTCGCGTGTTTCGCTGTTGACTGGTAAAGCTGCCCACAACACCAACGTCACTGACGTCCGATCGGTAAGTTGATGCCGCTCTCACCCCAGATCCATGTTGCAAAAAAGGCTTACAATCATTAGCCCTACGGTACGTCGAGACCTAGCAAGCTGGGCCTTTCATGCCAAGGTTCTAACGCACAGCAGGCGGCTACCCGAAATTCATCGCCGAGGGCCACAATGAAAACTACCTTCCCGTCTGGCTGCAGCAAGCCGGGTATAATACCTATTATACCGGCAAACTGATGAACATGCACGGGGTCGAAACGTATAACAACCCATTCCCTGCTGGCTGGAACCGAAGTGATTGTACGTTCTTGTCCCTTCCATATCCATCTAAGAGAAAGCACACACTTAAACTCAAGACTCAAACAGACCTCCTCGACCCCGGTACCTACAGGTACCTCAACTCTGTCATGTCTCTCGACGAGCAAGAGTACCGATCCATGGCGGGCACATACTCTACCGACAACATCCGCGATCGCGCCGTCGAGTTCCTCGGCAACGGCATCGACGCCGGCAAGCCCTTCTTCCTCGGCGTCGCGCCCATCGGCCCGCACGGCCAGGACACCCCCAAGGGCTTCGACCACCCGATCCCCGCGGACCGGCACAAGGACCTCTTCCCGGACCTGCAGGTGCCGCGCACGCCCAACTTCAACCCGGACAAGGCCGGCGACGTGCACTACTTCGCCAGCACGCCCAAGCTCGCCCCGCACCAGGTCGAGTACCTCGACGAGTACTACCGCCGCCGCATCCAGGCGCTGCAGTCGGTCGACGAGCTCGTCGAGGCGCTCATGCTCAAGCTCGAGCAGCACCGACACGTCCTCGCCAACACGTACGTCTTCTACACCTCGGACAACGGCTACCATCTCGGCCAGCACCGCCTCCCGCCGGGCAAGTGTACCAGCATGGAGGACGACATCAACGTACCGCTGCTTGTCCGCGGGCCGGGCATCGCCAAAAAGGCCTCGGTCAGCATCCCGACGTCGCACACGGATCTTGCGCCGACCTTCTTTCAGATTGCTGGCATTGACCTGCGCGACGACTTTGATGGTGTTCCGATGCCGTTGACAGTCGAGCAGCAGCAGAGCAAGACGGTCAAGGGCGAGCACATCAATGTGGAATACTGGGGCGGCGCATACCTGGAAGGCACCGTTTTCCCACACGGTAAGAGAGCGTCCCTGCTAGCATCGATTTCTTTGAGCACAGTTAGTAGCCTTCGGGAGAAGAAAGAGCTAATCACATCTGCCTACAGACCCAGAAACCGCGCGCAATACGTACAAGGCCCTCCGCGTTGTCGCCGACGACTACGACTTCATGTACACTGTCTGGTGCACCAACGAGCGCATGCTATACGACATGAAGCAGGATCCGTACCAGATGAACAACCTCTACAGCACTTCTGGCAACGCTACCGGGTACCCCGTCGATCAACTGAAAGCGCGCCTGGACACTCTGCTGCTTACACTCAAGAACTGCAAGGGTGAGGTGTGCCGCCAGCCCTGGAGCTTCGTCTTCCCGCCCTCGTCAGGACAGGACATTCAGACGCTCGCCGATGCCATGGACACAAAGTACGACGAGTTCTTCGGCTCGCAGGAAGCTGTCAAATTCTCGGCCTGCGCCGGGGGCTACTTGTTGGAGTATGAAGGTTCCTTTGCGCCTCGGCCGTTTGCCAATGAAAAAGGAGAGGCTGTCCTAGCAGCTCGGATGGAGGACTGGGTTTAACCATCAAATTCCCTGGCGGTGAAGGTTTCACTTCTTTCTAGGCGAGGGCCTTGGAAGTGACAAAGTCGGAAGCGAGCGGGAAGCACACTGTCAAATTAGATACCCAACGCGGCTATCCATTAAATTCTCTTGAAGCTTCAGATTATGCATAGAGAGAGGTAGCTTGAAATTTCGAAAATGACTGTCAGATAATCCCCCAACTGTAGCATCAGCCTTCCCAACAGGCAGGGCGGCCGTCCGCTGGAAAATAATTTACAAGTAAAGGAATAGAGAGGGGGGGGGGGGGGGGGGTAGAATACGGATAAGAATTATAGGGTAAAAAATAAGAATAGTAAGAAAATGATTAGAATTAGAAAGATGAAGAAGTTGATAGATAGGTAGTATAACTACTGGTAAGTACATAAGAATAAGGAGATACTAGGGCACAAAGGAGCAGCAGTGCGCGCTAAATACGTGGCGAACCGAGCATGGCTGTGACTTGGTAGTCATACATACACAAAGCGTTAATTTACTGTAATTTACTGAAAAGCAAAACACCGTGCACCTACCATGGTTACGTCATTCCTAGTTGGAAGGAAGGAAGCGCTCGGGACGGATAGGTTTCTTCAGCCGCCAGGGATATTTCGGCACATGGTACATACCTAGTAGGTATGTACAGACATGCACCGTATGTACAGACATGCACCTTTACAAGGGTTGCATCTGAATAGTCGCAAGTTAGGCAGTTACTGCGGAACGCCGCATTGGTGGGGGCAACATGGGCGACATCGCTAACCGCTGGGGAACAAGGAAGGTGTGGATGCTGCATCTGCTGATTGGCAAACCGGCATTGCAAAGTGAGACAGATGAGCTTCTCATGGACGCCACAGAGCTCCAGGGCTGTTTGTGGTGATTGGCATGCTGGTTGTTGAGTACCTAAATAATAGTTAACTAGACACGGAGGTTGAAAGGAAGAAGAAGACGAGGCGGCATTATTAGCGCCCCGGTGCGGAGTCGTTAGGATTCCTTCACTGTACTTTCTGAGGTACTTTGTAGCAGGTAATAACGAATTGCTTGCAGTTACAGGGCAGCACCCATGCCTGATGGACGACCAATCAAAACCAAGGCGATACCCAGCCGTCCTATTTTCAGTGCGAATTGATTCGTAGATTCTTTCGCTTGTTGGAGTCAGCCCAGGGTTCCGTGAGGGGAAACCGAGTTAATTTGTAGCCAGCCATACGAATACACGTTGTTGTCACCTGTGAGAGGCGCCATCAACTGGTAATAGTGCAATTATTCGAGGATATAAAAAATGGGGGCACTTTAAGAGAACTGGGGCTATTTCTTCGCTCTCTGCCTTCACTTTTCTGGGGCGGAACAACGCGGCGCGCGCGCTAATAATTCAATTCTGTCCTGCCAAAAAAAAAAAAGAGAGCAAAAAATATCACCAGGTCATCATTGAAACTCGTTGTGATTGGCAATTGCAGCCAATCCTTCTTCCGCGGCGCTTAACGCAGACCTGCACGCACCACGGCACACTGCAGCTTTTCCTGCTGGCTGTCCTTGTCCGTTTAATTGATTCCTCTCACCTGCACCTCACTTCCTCCCTCACTCTCTCGTCTCTACCAGTACTGTGCGCCCGAACGAAAACGAAACCCACGATTAAGAAAAATCCTTTCGCTACACCACAGCCTGTCGATATATTTTTCTTCCTATTTCGAGCGCACGCACATGTGCACCCATACATCATACGAGTCATCATATAGCAAACATATTTCCAAAAAAGAAAATCGTCGACGAAATGTCAAAAGCGATACCCGCCAACACCGGCCCAAATCAGGACCATATCCTAGGCTTTGCCCACCGCTATAATGACTTGATGCTCGTTCGCGATTCTACAGATAAGCTCATCGAGGTATGCTGCCGCCCACGCCCAGAGGAGCACAGGCCATTGTACCAGCAGCGGGCAGAAACTGACGAGAACCTCTTTTTTTTTTTCCCCGCGCTTGTAGGATGTTCTATTATATTGCCAGGGTCTCGAGCGTGCCCTGCATCAGGAAACGGTCCGCTTCGAAGGCGAGCTGCGCAACTGCCGGCTCGACCTCGACGACGCCAACGCCTCCCGCCGCGAGCTCCAGCAGAAGCTGTCACATACCGAGTCTGAATTCAATTCTCTATATAAGGAAAAAAATACTTTCAAGGTGGGTAGCATTGTACTGGTTGGTCGGTCGTCGTCCTCGTTGCGGTTGTTGCGCCGCCACTTTGGGCAGCGATGCATTGGCATTTTCTCTGTGCAACACGGCAAAGGGACAGACGCAGCCGGTACTTGACAGCAGTTCAGCTCTAACAACATCACAAGCAGACTCAAAATCCATATATTGTCGTTTTGATTGACGGGGACGGTCTTTTGGTGAGCCCATCTTCTAACCTGCTTGCGCATGGGAGAGAAGAGGACGAAAACGATTAACACCAACCTTCAGTTCCAAGATGCTTGGGTACGACAGGGCATAGAAGGCGGCAAAAAGGCAGCCAACGCCCTCCGCGGTGCCGTTGCGAGGCAGTGGACCGACAAGAGCCAAGATGTGCAAATCATCGCCAAGGTCGTCGCCAACTGTTCCGGTCTCGTCCGCACCCTCAACAGCCACGATCTCCGTGACTTTGCCATCGGTTTCACCCAGGGCCATGCCGCCTTTGATTTTGTCGACGTCGGCAGCCGCAAGGAGCGTCGCGCCGACCCCAAGATTCGCGGTTCGTCCTACCCAACCTGCCCCTCATTCCCCCGTTCCCGTTGCCTCGAACCGAGTGTACTAATGCAACAGCGGCACCAGACAACACCCGCTGGCACCTTGGAAATCAGAACTGCCAACAGATTCTCCTTGGCGTCGGCCATGACGCCGGATACGCTGCCCTCCTCCAGGAACTGTTTCGCGCGGACCCCGCGGCCCGCGACCGCATCAGCGTTATCGAGGGTGGTGCTTCCGCCATCGCGGCCGACATCAGGGCCACCGGCGTCAACACGACACGTCTCGACAAGGACCTGTTCCGCGCTGACAAGCTCGTCGAGCGCACCTCGGCCTATGCCGTGACCGCCATCGGCCGCACCGCAAGCCCTGCCAACAGCGTTGCCTCGAGCGGTGCCGGCGCCGGCGGTGGTGCCGCGCCGAGCTCGTCGACGTTTTCGTACGCCAATGCTATCACCAATGGCACGCCGCCACCGACCATGAGTATCCCGCTCGCGCCCAACAAGCCCAGCCCGCGCGCCAAAGCCAGCCCCTCGTCCTCCCCGAGCAGCAGCGCCTCGGCGCAGTACCAGACGATTCCGCCGCAGCAGCCCGACTGGCACCCGGGCCCGCGCGGCCTCGACGAGCCCATTGTCGTCAACGTGGCCGTCATGGACGCCGTCAAGAGGCGCAAAGACGCGGACAAGCTGTGCAACAATCATTTCCTGCGCGGGCCCTGTGCCAAGGGCGACGGCTGCAACTTTGTGCACTCTTATAAGCCCAACGCCGAGGAGATCAACGCCATTGCCGTCTTGGCCCGCCAAAATCCGTGCACGCACCGCCAGGACTGCGAGAACTGGGAATGTATATACGGACACCACGTGAGTTTTCTTCCCGTTGCTGCAGCGGGCTCTGCTTCTATCGTGCACCAGCTCACTAACGTTGTTCCAGTGCCCGAGTATTAGAGATGGAGTTTGCACCCATCCCTATTGTAAATTCGACGCGGATCAGCATCCTCCTGGAACAAAATTTACCTTGTCCAAGTCGTCCAACCGATAAACAACAATAATGTCTACCACCTTTTGCACGCAAAACACTCGAATGGGTGTCTTTTTCTCCGCCAGGAGAGGAAAATGAGAATATGTACAAGTTTTGGCCTTCTTTTTTGCTATGTTCTTTCATGTACAAGTTTTGCTCTCCCAAGGAAAGAAGAAAGTCCACAAAGGAGAATATGATTTGGCTTGCCTGGCTATCCTTGCTTTGATCAGACTTTTGCTGTGTTGTTAGAACACTCTTCTTGTGCTCTATTTTCTCTTTTGTCATATTCTAGTGGGCTGACCACTGTCTCCGATATCAAGAATGATTATGATTGTGCTTTTTGGCCGGACTATGAGAGAGGAAGGGGGGGGTTACATTCTGCCCAAGGCCTAGCAGTTGGGTTTTGTATAGCGTTTTGGTTGTACTAGTATGGAAACAGGCGTAGTGACTTTAGCTTTAGCTTTGTTACACTATCGCAACTGCTCCCATTTATTTTACACTTTTGCGTTCTTGCCTTGTTTCTCGTGCATGCAGATGGGGAGGCACGCACGGGCGGCCGGTGGGAGCCCCCGGAGCCCCTCCACCGACATGCATTTTTCGGACTTGAAGGGCGCGTCGCCGCCACCCGCGCGACAAGCACGGCCACCCCTCTCGTGCACCCAGCTCTCTTCTTGCAACGCTCGCACTTGTTCGTCAAACGACCCCCTTCCCAGCCCATGGACGACCCCCCCATCCTCATCCTCGACGGCGGGCTCGGCACCTCGCTCGAGCAGCACTACGGCTGCGTCTTTGACCACGCCACGACGCCGCTGTGGTCCTCTGACCTGCTCGTCACGGACCCGGCGCGGCTCCGGCAGTGCCAGGCCGATTTCGGCCGCGTGCCCGTCGACGTGCTGCAGACGGCCACGTACCAAGTCTCGGTCGCGGGCTTCGCCGGCGGCACGCACGGCGGGATCCCGCGCGCGCGCATCCCGCACTACCTCGACGCCGCGGTGCGCATCGCCCACGCGGCGGCGCCGCCGCCC